ATTTGTTTGCAAATTCTAACATCACATATCAAAATTAAAAGTGACTTTCACGTGTAAATGATTTTCCCATGTTTGCGCATTTTCATTCCTTTTCAATGCAGAGCTTTCAGAGCGCTCTTGCGAAATTGCCAGCAAAATTTCAATCTCTGCTTCGCACGGTGAATTCGAGTGCGATTAAAATTTCCCTCATTTTACACGACCACACGTGACGCAGTGATTTTTCAATCACATCGCACATTGGACAAACACGTAAAATTGAGCGTGGGAAAAGGAATTAATGTGATTTGCACTCGCGCCATTGTTAAATAAATAACGACAGGGTGAGGATGGATTTCAATATCTGATCATGGTCACGTATTAATTTAATATTCACGTGGTGAATGAAATTCCTTCCCCTTTTGTCAATTTCACCCTCGGTGAACTTGAAAGTCGTGGGGCGAACTCTGTAATGAAATTATGAGTGGTCATGGCCATTTGTCCACCTCTGGAACCTTCAGACGTGCGCTGATCATGAATACAAATTCGACATCATCGCTCTTTGTCTGCCGTTTTTCTGCGAATCTTCAATGTTCTCCAATAAGTTCATCTGTTATGTTGAAGAGCATACTGCAACACTCTTTGACATCCAAAAAGAGCGAATAGTAAATGGAAAATGCATTTGCAATATTATTGCTTTGGAAGCTCTGTAACATTTCTCTAAACTTCACAACAAATTTTGCTTATTCCACATTGATTTCCACTGGGAAAATTCATGCAAAACTTCACAACGGCATCAATAATAATTAATTCTGAGATGAAGCTTTTTGTTTGCAGGAAAGCTTTTCGAAATACATTTTCATGATTTTCATTTATGAATTGATGTTGAATTTACCACAATTTATCAAAAGTGTATCTGACCTTCCACACCAAACTGTTAGTGAGAATTTAGATCCTTTACTAAAATCCTGAATATCCAATACACATAGAAAACATGTAGAATTTCTACGGAAGTCTTCAATCACCTCTTGACTCGTGAGAGATTGAAAATTCATTTTGCACATCGTATGAGAAAAGTTCGCCACTTTATGGCACATAAAATTTCTTATAAGTTTTTCTCACGAAACGAATGGCACTTTAATATTTGGCCTTGATATTAATGGCTTTATTTCCCATCAAATAATCGAATATAAATACATTTTATAGAGGTATGAATATTGTTTCGAAAAGGTATAAAACACTCATAAGCATTATTTTTCTTTAAACAACACATTAAAACTTATGTAAATTGGGGAAAAATTTATGAAGTGTTATAAGGTTGTTGGGTTAATTCTGCTTTTGCATACGAAATTGCACTGTATCATAAGGAATGCAAGACTTACAAGAGAATTCACATGTGATTTAGTATCAGAGAAAATATTACAGTGTGAAACATTTCCTATGCTGAAACTATTAAAATATGGATTTGCCCCACTGCGAATGACACCCATTCTAACATAAATGTATGGTAAAAGAGCATCATACAATAATAACATGGGAGTCATATCTAGAAATACTCTTACAACATAGTTAAGACCATAAAATACATGCTGTTATGTCAGACTATTGTCACTGGAGCAAACCATAATAATGCCCTGCAAGTGCAATGCAAATTGGGCTTTTTTCATCCATTCGAAAAAGCTCTCGAGTGTGTATTTTTGTGCGCGTGTATAAGCGAAATTTCCCGCTTTTCGCGGAGGTACCAGAAAAAAAACACGTGGAACGTGAAGATATTTTCCCAGGGCGAAGTGAAAAGATCTCTACGTGCCAACACATAAGAGTGTTGTTATGGCGGTAAAGCGGTTTGGGGCCTTAGAAAAGCTCCGCGCTAAAAGGCAAGTGTCTGAAAAATTGCCACATCGATATGTATTATGGGTAAATGCCAGAAACATTTCTTTTACAGTGAGTTCACAGCTCTTGTTGGCCTTCTGATAAACCAACGAGTGGCAAAAGTCAGCAGATTGTAAAATTCATCTTAAACTTGCTTCCCAAGGAATCCCATAAGCTCCGTACCTTAACTTTTCTTTCTTTGACGGCGAAGAGCGCGCCATAAAACACGATAACATTCCACACATAAATCCACATGGGGTGAAAAATTGCCAAGAATTCTTCAATATCGTGAACAAAAAACACGCGATACAGAGAGATGAGAGAGAGAACAATGAAAATTCTTCATTATTTCATCATTTATTTATGTTTCTTTTTTACAATTTACCATAATTGCATTTCTTAACTCGGTGGCTTTGAACATTGTTACGGGAAATGACATAAAACATTTCACAATATTGATTTTCATCTTCTAGAACTCCTCCTGCATAATTTAATTTCATTTGCAATCAAATTGTGTTGAGGAGAATCTGTGACTCTGGAGGAAAAGGATTGTAATAAAAGAATTGATGCGATCAAAAGCTGTGATTCGAGGAAATAATATTGTGTAGCATCAATTTTCTTTTTTTAATGTCTATATTTTTTTCTTTACGCCACAAGAAAAGTGTGTATTTTGACGTGAATGGCAAAATTTCCTCACAGATTTGTATTATAACGCCTTTTCACGAGATAAGGATTTCGCAGTGTGAAAAGGCGAATTTCTATAAAGATCTCGTCTTGCTTAGCGTAGCGTAAGAAATCAAAAAATATGAACAGCAAAGAAATGTGAAATATAGATTGTGGGTGTGGAATATTTCCGCCCGACTCTCGATGCCCCAGATTTGGGGATAATCGTCTTCGGCGGTGAAAATTGATGAATGTCTCGAGAGTGAAAAGCCAAAGAGTCCCTTTTGCTTATACAAATTTTCCCGCACATATTCATCATCGTGCCAAAGAAATTACTCACAATGGGGCGTCGAGAAATTGAAGGCAGAATGATTGCCTCGTCTCCTGGAGGTCAATTGCAAGAAGACACAAATGGCAAGTTGTATGGCATTTCATTTGTTCTCAAACGCACAGAGAAAAGCCGCCTGTGGAGCTTTTCACGGGCCTCAATGTCCCACCCGAAGTCGGGAAAGAGGAAGGATGAGCGGCCAAGTGTCGTCTTTCAGCCGATATTAAACAATGTGTCAATCATCCTAATATGAGGAAGCCAAGCACATTATGTGTCTCAACAGGGGATATTGAATTATTGCCTTTTTAGCACGCCAGGAGCATAAGTGCAAAGGTGGAGCAATTTAATGGGCATCAGGAAGAGGCGTTTTCTTCTCTATTTTAGTGCACATTGCGCGCAAAATGGTGTTAAATATGTGGAAGAAAGTGTGTGAAAAAATTAGTCTAACGAGGAAACATGACTCGATTCTTTACTAAAGTGCATATTTTCTTATTACACCTTCACAAGCAAGATCAAAGTTTCTTCCAACCAAGGGAGAAATATTGTACGTCTTAAAGCATTAAAGCTCAGTTCTCGCAATAAGAAGTAGAAATAATTCTCACTTCTAAACAACAATTGATGTTAACGAAACCTAGAAAAATAATAAAACTGATTTTCTTTAACAAAATTACCCAAAGGAAATGAAATAAGTACGCTGATTTGCTCAAAAAGCTTCTTAGAATCAAATATTTCAAATGTAAATACCCACTTAACTATACATCACCTCCGACCACCCTATCTCCCCCTTGTTTCCAACAATACTTCTTCAGCTTTCATGGAACGTAATGCCCGTTTTTATAGAGAAACATCTCACGTAAGAACTACGAATGCAGTCGTCGCTTTGGCGCTTTTTAAAGTGCAATGAAAATAAAAGTAAACGAAAATTATATACGGAGTGTCTTACACGCAAACCTTATCCACAGGTCAACTGGCAAATTGAACTCAAAGCTCTGAACTCCGGGATAAACTTAACAAGGTCGTCAAGGGTGCGAAGACACCTTTAGTCCTTCAATAGTTTTGAGGATAATAATTTCATTGTTGGGGAATTTCAAGATTAAATCAAACGTCAATTAAGATGTTGAACTCTTGGCTGAATTAGTAAGACAATGAGTTTAATTGAGTTCCTTATCGCACAAGAAGCTGTCAATAACTCAAAGTAGTTGGAAAGGAAATTGTATTAAATAATTGCAAACTGTCTTTCATTTATATCTAAAGTGCGGCATTTTCGACTATGAGAGTATATAGCAACATTTTCGCATTTGCTATCACGTATTTTGAACCCACGTCGACTTAATAAATGTGCGCACAAGAGGCTCAGAGGGAAAAAATATGTTATGCTCTCGTCATTTCAGGCATGAATTTGCGGGTATTTTGATCATCATCAGTTTTGCACATCTAATTTGCACCACAAATATCGATTTTCCGGAATATTGTTGCCTCAGCCGCCCTATTCTGGGTCTGTTGATGTGCCAACCACATAAGGGTGGATTTTATATGGGTTCTCTTTGCTCCCTCCAGTTCAGAATGTATAATTTATGCAGACATTTTAGCGGTAATTCTTTTGAGATCCGTTTTCTGACCCGTCTCATATCTGTTTATATCTGTAAAGAGAATGTGAAAAGAAGCGAAAAATGCGTGGGAAAATGCGTGAAATTTAATTGTGGGTTTTCACAGAGTAAAAATTCCTTCCTTGCCTTGGCGGAGGATTGGTCGTTAATCACTCTTAACCTCTCTTTCAAATAAGATTCCAATCCGCCATTTCCCACTTTGCCGGCAGTGGCGCCGTCACGCGAGCAGTCCTCAAAGTGTGAGGGTGTACGCAAATGTCAATCATTGTGTTGTTTGCTCGCGTTTTAGTGGAAAATCACTGAAAATTCCACAAAATATCCGCATCCCTTGTCTCCAGTACGTTCTTCAGCACGCAAAGAGGGTGCAGAGAGTGAAATTCGCACGCGAGCGGGTCTATAAAGTGCCATAAGGAGCGAAAAAGTGGAGGCTGTTCGCGAAGGGCGTCTCAAGTGTCAAATTGGAGGGGGGTCGCTGTCAAACACCCGGAAAATAGATTCCCAGAGCAAAAGCACGCCCAAGCACTCTATAGCGTCGTTTTCGTCCAATGTTTCTGCAGATTCACCATGGAAAATTACACGGGCATCATGGAGAATGAGTACAATGCCGCTGTGGACTACGCCGCGGCCAATCTGTCGCAGGCGTTGGCGCAGAACGCCCCCAACCAAGTGGCAGCACTGGAGCGGCCGGATGTGATTGACATGAAGCAGCCGGAGGCGCCGGAGGAGTTTGGCCAGCGCGACACGATCATTGCGCCCAATCTGCGAGAGGAATTGAGCGAGTTTGCGTCCACGATGGAGCAGGAGCCTATCTCCGAGCCCTTGATGGCTCCAGAGGCCGCAGAGAGTGCGCCCCCGGCGGAGTCGGACGCTTGTGCGCCCGTGACGGAGCCAGAGGCGCCTCCGGAGACGGATTTAATAGCCGAGGTGAATGTGCAAGAGAACGAGGCGACAGAGGAGGCGGTGGATGAGACTCAGCAAGAGGGTGAGGAGGAGCCTGGAGCTGATCCCATTGAAGCGGAGTCCCAGGAGAACGCCAAGACGGCGGAGGAGGCGGCCGAGGAGCCACAGAATGAGCGCCCGAAGGAGGAGGAGCTGGACAAGAACCAGTGTCGTGTGTGCACTTCCAAGGAAAATCTGGTGGACATCTTCTCGCCACTAGAGGACTCAGTGATCAGTGACAAAATCCAGCTCATCTGCCGGACGGTGAAGATTATGGAGAGGGACTTCCTGCCGCATTTGATTTGTGGCGCGTGCATTGACAAGCTGAAAATTGCGCTGGAATTTAAAGCGACCTGCGAGAACACCGACCGCGAGCTGCGGATGAAGTTGAAACGGAGCAAGAACAAGGTGAGGAGAAACACGGAGTTTGTCATCATCGATGCCGATGTGTTCTCCGATTCGCATTCGGATGAGGAGAAAAAGCGCACGGACGATGAGGAGTTCCATCTATCGGACGTGATTGAGTCGCAGTCGGAGACAGACAGCAGCTATTCGGACGCCGAGAAGCCCAAGAAGTACAAAAGGCGCGCTGGAAGACCTCCGGGCGGCGGCCAGCGGAAAGGTCGGCGGCCGCGGAGCGATGTGGTGTTCATCGCGGCGCCTGAGAGTGACGTTGATGACTCGTCGGACGCGAAACGGAAATTCCGCGGCAAGTCTCTGCAGTGCCAGACGTGTCACGAGGTGTTCGCCAGTCCGGCGAGTCTCTCGAAGCACTCCTGCCAGGGCCAGTCACACGCCCGGGACGCGCTGGAGGACGCGGACTATGACGATGACGAGGAGGACAAGCCACTGGCGAAGCGGCTGAAGACCATCAAGAAAGAGTCCGGGCACGAATGCAAGTTCTGCCGGTTGACCTTCAAGAGCCTGGCCGAGCTGAAGCGCCACAAGAGCACGGAGCACACTGGCGACAAGCCCTACATGTGCCGGCTGTGCAACAAGACCTTCAAGCTGGCGCAGAGCCTGAACGGGCACCTGCTGCGTCACGAGAACGAGGAGATCAACATCTCGTGCGCACAGTGCTGGAAGTACTTCCCTAATAAGAAGGAGCTGCGGAAGCACGAGATGTCGGCTCACGCCATTGCGTTCCAGTGTGACAAGTGCAAGAGGAACTTCACGTCGCAGACGCGGCTGAACAACCACCGCCACCAGACGTGTCCTGGCGTCGTGGCGGCGCCCAAGCGGCGGCAGGAAGTGGAGGCGTCAGTCGTGGGCAGGGATCTGTTCAAGTGTGTGGCACCTATGACATCCACCTACTGGAGTGACTCCTTCAGCGAGTAATGCATCACAGCAAAGTGTGTCTTTTTTGCTTTTTACCTACAGTCCTCTTTTCTGGAAGAAACCCTTCTTGTCCTCAATACATGAGAATGTATCGTGTTTTCTGTGCAAATGCCATGAACGAGAGAGAAAGACGTAAGATAATAAATTTTCTTATAATTAGTAAACATGCCTAGGACAAATCATTCCTTTTCCTGCGACGTGGGAAGAATTGACGATAGGACGTGAATTAATTGTGTGTCGCTTCACGTGACAAAAGCCACAATCGGCAAAGATTTCACAGGTTGGCAGCATTTCCGGCACATTGTCTACATCTCGATGCATTGTTTACGCCCTAAATTGTTTTGTATAGTGAGACATGGAAATAAATTTCTTTTTCAGTGTTCTCAATGCTTTCGTATTCACTTGGACTGGAATTGAGAAAGAAATGTTTGATTAATTTTAATCGCCATAAAAGTGCGGGATGGAAAGTATGATAACGTATTAGGAAGTGCTTTTCTTATTTGTATTCCTCGAGTCGATTGCAATCATGCACTTAATTTGATTTTTTTACGAAAATGCTTATTTCAAAGATACAAAAATAGAATACAAAGAGAATTGAACAATGTAAAACAAGAATTTTGATTTCTAATCCCAATTAAACTAATTTTAATCTTAATGGTGAAAACACAGCATTTGTAATTTGTAATTTGTCCGCGATCATCTCTTTCTTCCCCTCGCGTTTCGTGTATTTTCCTTCCTACTTTGTCAGCGTCTGACTCTGACATGTCGAGACAGCCACTGTGCGAGTAGGAAGGAAAATACACGAAACGCGAGGGGAAGAAAGAGATGATCGTGGACAAATTACAAATTACAAATGCTGTGTTTTCACCATAAAAACCAACAATGAAAATGCCTCAATCGTCGCTCAAATCCTTTTCTTGAGTAGAGCTTTTATTTTTCTCATTATTTCTCTCTTGGAAGGCTGTAAAAAGTGATTTGAAAAATGTATACAACAAAATTAAAGGTAATTAAAAAAAAATCAAAGAAAAATAGCAAAGTTTCCTCATATTATGGTGTAGTGTGTTTTATTCTAAGAAGTACAATCAATTACTCTGAGGTCAGCGTGTCGTCTTTAGTATTTCTCCCACACGCGCGGACGCATTGTAATGAAAAAGCCACCCCGCATTGTTTTATACAATGTGAACATCTTGTTCTCTCCCACCCCAAATTGCTAGCATCACGAGCAGAATTTTAATTTAACGCCACGGCAGGAGATTTAGCGAAATTCCTGGGCTGCGGAAGGAGAGCAATTGAGATTCTGCTGACGTTGACGCAGGAAAGACTTTGACTCTTTTCTCCGTTGTCTGCAACAGGTGACGGACCGAAAATGGACGGTTCTTTTCCCGGGAGAAATATTTCCACAGGACGCTAATTACTTCCTTCGGAAGAGTAGCAATTACTGCAGCATTTTGTTCAAGGAGATCTCTCGGTTTGCTCATCAACGCCCGAGCAATATCAAAGACAATGGCGTGAGGAGGAATTGAAAAGCTCCCTATGAGCTTTATTGAGACGCAGATGAACTAATAAGAAGCCACACGAGGGAGTGGCCTTATTCGCCCCGATGTGAAGACAAAAGGGGCATTTTATTGGATTGTTGCGCCGCAGTGAATATAACTTTAATTAAAGGGAACATTGAGGACAAGGAACAAGAAGTTTATCCTAACACGCACTTGAATCTCTGCAAAATTGCCGCTTCACTGATTTCTAGTCGGCTCTTCAGCTCGTCCAATGTTGCCCTAGAGGCAGATTTGAAGGAAATTGTATGTCGCATTTGGTGAAATGATTTCTCAGAATCATTTTCTTCACATTTAACTGAGAACTTATTTTTAACTTGAAGAAATCAGGTCACATTTGACCTTTTGTACAACGAAGAGTTTACTTTAAAGATCTTTCTTTCATGCTGTGTCCTTCCCAAGAACCCGCAAATAAAGAATGTCAGAAATCAAGGCGAACGAGGAGCCAGCAATTTAAGTCAGATTTTCTTAATCGTCTCAAAATGTGTGAGTTTAAAAGCGATGTACAGATCATAATCGTATTATTTCCCCCTTGTCAGAGATTGTTGGTGAGCTTTGCTGAAATTTATGCGCACATGGGAATAACATGTCAGTGGAAAATGGCATTATAAATAGCTCAAAATGATTAATTCGCATGAAATTGAATAAGACAATGGGCGTGTGCACAGAATCTGCAGAAATTGAGACGCAATCTACGTGTTTAGTTATCAAAAATGAGCTTTTTTCGTCGCTCATTTAAGCTTTTCCCAATTTATGCTACCCGAAAGCCATAAATCCTGAGCGCAATTCCGTGCAAGTCAATTGTGGGATTATGGCGCGCGGGCCGAAATGTGGAAGGTGAGAGAGTGAGACTCTCCACGCGTACAAAAGGCATTTCTCAAGGATCAACATGACGCGAGATTGACGCGGAGGAAATCCAGCTCGGCAAGGCTCAGATCTCGATGGTGAGATGAATAGAAACGTGACCAATTAGGCGATAACTGTGACAAATTTAGAAACAATCTCCGGTCCTCTGACGCAATCCCGGCGGAAAATTGTCCTCGCAGAGTGATTTCTCCGATCGAATATTCATGAAGGAAGATTATGTTTGGGCAGTGAGCGAAATTGCTTTCAATACCGATTATGTTTAATTCATCTTCCTCAGATCTGGTCACTCAACTCGCGCGCGCCATCGATGAGGGCGGGCGGCAATGGCCGGAGCCAACGTCTCGGGGCTGCAGGAGCACGTGAGTAGACTGATGGAGGGCATGGCGGTGCAGGGCGACGCCGAGGCGCCGGCTGCCCTTCATCGCAACTTCACCAAGTACCTCAACGTGTCCAACCGCTTCCTGTCCGACTACAATCTCACGGACGAGTACTTGAACGACTTCGTGCGCCTCCTGGGCGAGATTGGGGCGCAACGCGAGTGCTCCAGCTACTGCGGCGGCACGCTGAGGGACGTCTTCACTGGCTATCGCGCCATTCACGGCTACATCTCGCTCGTGGTACGGATAATTAACTCGTCGCCGCGGGCACACAACTCACAACGACATCTCGCTAATTGCAGATCTGTATCTTCGGCACCATCGCCAATATCCTCAACATCATCGTGCTGACGCGCAAGGAGATGTCCAAAGCGCCCATTAACATCATACTCAAATGGCTGGCGGTCACTGATATGATTGTCATGATTGAGTACATCCCATTCTCCACCTACATGTACCTCATATTCCCAGGTAATGTGCTGTTCATTAGCACCACTAATTGCCCTTAAGAACACAAAGTGTCTAACATTCTCGGCGAGATTACCTCGTTGTCTAGGCACAAATGGCTATAATGGCACTTTGTATTAGACATTATATACACCTCAGAGATTTGCACAAGTTCTTCACATTGAAACAAGTATATTATTCATTGCAATTGAAATTCACAATAAAATACCAAACAGAAAGATGGAAAAACAATCTGTTTTAGGTTCTAAAAGCCATAATAAATGGTGATTTCTTTCGCTCTTTGCAGGAAAACGCGAATTTAAATACTCCTGGGCGGTTTATCTTCTTTTTCACATGCACTTATCACAAATTCTCCATACAATTTCCATCTCATTGACTGTCACACTTGCCATTTGGCGGTATATCGCCATCAAGTAAGTACATCACACTAACAATCTCTCTTTCGAAGCATCCGGTAGAGGCAGATATTCTGTAATTACATGTTGATTTTCGGACTCTCGCTGTTGTACAATTCCATCATGTTTAATATACTGTCTGATTAGGCTAAATTATTACTTCATTAGATTTAGGCGATTAATTAAAGGAGATTATGAGCAGCTTAAATTGAGCTGCTAATGCTGTATTATAGAGTTGAGGCGTCCATACATTCTGACAATTTAATTGGCATGCACTTTAAGATTGCATTTCTGTACAATTCTTGTGAGTATTTCAAACACATTTCTCTCCTTTGTCTGTAAATATGAACTTGTGTACTTGAAATCCATATAGAACGACTTTTGTTGAATTCATCAAAGCTCATGGAAGACAAGCGATGTCAAAGGGTCGAAATTTAGTGGAAAATTGTGGTGAAAGCATCATCATTTCCCCATATTAAATTCTCTAAGTTCCATTTCATCTGGGTTTCTTTTGTGTCATGTGTGAATTACAAATAGACAGAGTATGCAATAAGAACACAATTGCAGAGACACTAAAGCCACACAGCAATTTCCCTCTAAATTCATTTGTTGCATTTTGAAGTGAGATTTTCATCACATTGCTGAGCTAAAGCAGCTTTGAGATTACTCCAAGGATTACTCGCATCGCCAAGAGCGAATTTAGGCGATGAATCTTATCTCTTTATGGTAAATTATTTTACTTCAAAAATAACTTTGAAAAATTCTAAAAGAGCGCAATAACAAAACTTTAAGACAATTGCTCTGAAGTTTATGCAAATTTGAGTGCAATTCTTTCCTTTCTACACATAGTTTTCTATATATAATATTATGTACTAGATTCTCTTCTGTATGTATGTATCAATTAAGGGTCGAGAACTGTAGAATTGATATGTTCACGTGATGTCATCATTCAACACCATTAACGTTTGCCACACGCTTCTGTTATGATTATCTCTCACCCTTGCACGACATCCGGTGAGAGACTGCATCCGGACCAGATGTTTTGATGACTTGCCAGATGTGCAGCAATGGTGCCGATTAAAGCCTGTTTAGGTATTCTCTAATGTATTTCAGGCATCCCCACGGCTCCTTGGCCGCCTGCGTCCTGACGCACTGCAACGAGGCGATCCTGCTGTCCTTCATCCTGCCGCCAATCCTCTGCTTCCCCACGTATTTCGTCTTCCGCATCAACGAGAAGACCATCAAGGAGAACAACGAGAGCCTCGTGTTGTACCATTTGGACGCCAAGGAGGACACAGCTCTCTATCGGTACAATTTTGCGCAAACATAGCAAGAAGTTCGCCCAATTAAGCTCTTATGTGTCTTCTGCAGATTCAATTTCTGGATGCACTCGATTCTCATCAAGTTGCTCCCCTGTGTGATTCTCACTGTGATCAGCTTCGTATTGATCCGAGTGCTGTACAAAGCGGCCAAGAGGAAAGTCAAGCTGAAGGGTTACACAAATCCAGCAAATTCCTCCGCAGCCACGTCTCTCAATGGCAGCAGGTATTTCTCGTACTTGGCACTAACTCGAGATTCAATTGTGAGCATTCAGAAGCATTTCTCAGGTCAATATTGCAATACTTTGGCAACTTCTCTCGTTCCATGCAAATGAATCCATATATCTTGATTAAAAGCAAGAGGGAGAAAATGCGACTGAAATCCTCTTCTACCACTCCATTGACTTTTTGAACCATTTGTACTTTCACTCTTGGAAATGGTAACTTTTCCCTCAATTGTTATTTGCGGACAAAATTGCTCTGCTTCATAATCAGCAAATTGAGTGTAAAATGGGCGTGGCATTCCAATGGGCGGAGTTACTGACGCTTACAAGAAACATTTTATTGCAGGCCTTCGCGGACAGATCGCCGAACGGACAGAACGACGATGCTTCTCGTGGCTGTACTGCTGCTTTTTCTCATCACGGAGTTCCCGCAGGGAATTTTGGGCCTCCTCAGCGGTATCTTGCAGAAGTGCTTCCTCACGCGCTGCTACTCGCTCTTTGGCGAGCTCATGGACCTCCTGGCACTCATCAACGCCGCCGTGGGCTTCGTGCTGTACGGCCTCATGTCCAAGCAATTCCGCACGAGCTTCAAGGCGGTCTTCTTCAAGCACCCGCCGCACGGCCTCGAGATGACCAAAGTCACCGGCCTGACCACAACGTGCGTCTGACTAGAGCGATACCTGCGCCCGTGCTGCGTGGCGCCCAGCGGCGACGGTCTGCACGAGAAGGCCCTCGTGTGACACGCGCCCCGCGCGCGTGACCGGCTTCCCGGCAGGACGAGCCGCGGCGGTAGATTTAGTGAGTGAAAACGCTGAAGAACTGAGATTTCGTCGCGTTTACAACGACATGAGCTTACCTTGAGGCGGATTTCGATTTTTCAGATGAAACCTGAACAGATAACCAGTTGAAAGTTGTGATTCCTTCATCTCTCATATGTGTGTAGATATATGAAATTCATTTGGGGAAAGAATCACAGCTTTTTCTTTAGAATTTCAGTGAAATTGCTTCACTTTTAACTCTCTAGGCTTAAGAGAATTATTAATACAAAGAATTATATATAGCGAACATATATATGTAGCTGTTATTTGAGTAAACATTTAGCTAAAAATTTCAATTCCCGGTGAGAGATGTGTACAAAAGGCTTTTCCTTTCACAATGAAAGGCATCTTCTTGCGCACACATCTCGGGAAAAATGCCAAAGGGGAATTTGCAGACTTTCTATTCATAGACGAGAGAGAATCCTAATTAAGAGTAAGAGGATTTCTTCCACTGTTTTAAAGTGTGAATGCCAAAAAACTCGGCAAATTTCCCTCTGCATAAGTAGCATTAAAGAGCTTGAGTTAATTTTTATATAAATGTGAGCATAATTAAGAGTGTGTTTTGTATATATTTCCTTCTCTCGCAATTTAAAATGGCAAGAATACGGCAAATCGTCTCAATGTACACTTCTCTGTGAGCCCACTGAAATGTACATTGACACAACAGCCACTTCTTTTACGGGTGTAATTTGTAAATAAAGCTTGTTGCTAATCACTTAGACAGTTTATTCTACACCAAATCTCCGTCTTCCTCAGCCTTTTCAGGCTCCTTTTGCTCGGGTTTTTCTACTTCTTCCACCACTTGAGCCTCGATTTCAATCTTGGCCACCTCCTCAACAGCTTCTTCGGTGTCTTCACCTTCTTCTTCAGCCTCGCCTTTCTCCTCAATGGGCAGGAGACCGTTGAGAGTCTGAGCAGTCTCGATGTACTCAGTTGGAATGCTCACAGTCTCAGACATTTTTATCACATTGGTGAGGTAGGTCCGCGCTTGCTGGTATTTTCCCTCTTCGTGGCAGAAGATGGCGAAGTTGAGGTAAATCAGAGGATTCTTGAGCGCATCCGGTTGCATTGTGGACCTCTCGAAGGCCACAAAAGCACCTTGGCGATCGTGCAGAAATCGGAGACAAGCTGACATGCAATAAATTCACCTTAGTTTTTAACTCATCCAGAAAGGAATTTTACACATTTTTTCTCACCTCCGAGCAGCATTAAACACTCCGCGTGGTTGTTCTTGATGCTCACGGCAGTGGCCAGAACGTGGAAGGCACTGGCGAATTGCTGAGCCTTCAGCAGAACATATCCAAGATTGTAGAGCGTGTTGAAGTTGAGCGGAGAAATCCAAACGGCTTTCTTAAGGCACGCAATCGCCGCCACGAGTTTCTGCTTCTTGTAGAAGCACAGTCCAATGTTGCTCCAGATCTCCGATCCCTCCTGATCCACATCGCTGAGCAATTTGTACTTGTTCAACGCCCCATCAATGTCGTTCTTCGACTGCAGAATCGCGCCAAGAGCGGTCAAAGCTCTCGGGTATTTTGCGTCCACGTTCAAGGCGTCGAGGAGCTTCGTAAAGGCGTTCTGTGTGGCGCCGATGGTGAGATAGAGAATGCCGATTTGCGTTAAAGCATTGGGATCGTCCGGATTAATCCTGAGAAGAAAATTACGAGGATTAACGGAGGAGAATTAACGGCGGTGTGGAGAGACGCTTACTGTAAGCTGTTCTCCAGCACTTCAATGGCCTTTGGCAAGTCGTCTTCTGAGAGATAAATCTCCGCCAGTTTCTTGTAACTGTCCAGGTGTTTTCCACCCTGAACACCACGCAGAATGTACTCTTTGGCCTCTTTCGGACCGGCTCTCGGCTGACCAACATTCTTGAGCAGTAAATCGCCGATGAAGTAATACAGCTCGTTATCTGGTCGATCCAAAAGGGCTTCGGCTTTCAAGAAGACGTCCAAACTCTGCCGAAGACGTCCCATTTTGTATCTGAAATTTTTAAATTGATTGAATTCATCTCCTTAACTAACTTGATGTCTTGTCAAAAGCGAACTTACAGCGTCTTTGCTACTTCTTTGAAGTACTCGGACTTCTTCGAATTCAATTCTATCGCATTCTGAAAGCCCTTTAAAGCATCAGTCATTCTTCCCTCTTCTCGCGCAATTAAACCCTTGAAGATAATTCAGAGAGATTGGCTATAAATTGAAAACATTGCAGATTCAGGCAATACCTGCACGAAATGGAGATACTCAGCGTCATAATTCCTCTTCAAGTACTCTTCAATTATGAGTTTGCAGTAGTTGAAGTCTCTTCGAGCGTACATCAAGTACAGCAGCCAGTTGACATTGCACTCAACAGAGGATGCTTCTGATAAAGCAGAAAGTTAATTAGTAATAACGAAATTAAGTGTATTAAAATATATTTCCTCACCTCTGCGAAGAATTACATTCGCTGCAGTTGATGTTGAAGGGGTAATTCCATTGCACTCGTAGTAATTCATTATCCTTCTTGTTAAGGATAAATTCTGAACAGCAGGAAAACTCAACAACAAACTTCACCATGGAAACACTTAATTTGGCTATATATATGAGCTTTTCAACGCTTTATCGTTCAAATTCAAAGCTCTCTCTCTTAAGTTAAGAGTCACGATGTCACAGCAAAAGCGACGCTGTGAGTTGTTTTGCTGACAGCTGTCATTGGATTTTACAGTGTTTTGCACGGAATTCTTGCTTCCTCTAAAAAAAATCGCAATTTCCCTAGTTTTTCCTCAAATACTCGTGCAGAAACAAAGCAAAATAGAAGGTAAAGTGCTACCGCAGCACAAGTGACAGTGGAAGAGTGCGCAAGGTGAGCAAGAAGGTGGGAAATGAGAGGAAAGTTGGTGGTTGGATTTGGGTGCAGTTTTTGATGACTTCCACCAAATTTCAGGTGATAACAGAAAGAATTCCTGGGGCCGATTTGAGGACAATCGTCAGCCAGACAGAGCGAGTAAACAGCGGAAGAGCGAGCGAAGCGATCTTGTGAGATGTCAGGCTGATAATCTGGAGATGGATGAGAGCACAGAGCTGGATAATTGATCATTATCTTATCATTCCGCCTCCGGTGCGCTCTGGCAAGACAATGAAGCACTTAATGAGATCACGAGAGGCGTAAACACTCGTGTGGATCGCGCGGAATGTGACAGATTCTCTGCGCAAGGCAGTGGACAAGTGAACGATGGCCAACCGGACGAAGCGACTGATCCTCGGGACGCTTCTGTTGCTGCTGGTGGACGTGATTTGGGTGTCTTCGAGTGAGCTGACGAAGTTCCTCTACCAGGACCAGAACTTCGACAAGCCCTTCTTCTGCACGTACTTCAAGACCTCCATGTTCACCATCTATCTGCTGGCGCTGGGCCTGCTGGCGCCGTGGCGTGACTCATGTCCGGCGACCCAGCCAGTGGGCATAAACAACAATACGCCCAATTACACGCTCATGGACACCGCGGACGAGGACAGCGTGTTCGCGGGCGGCGTCACGAGCAGCCTCAGCGACTCCAGCTTCGTGCCTGTGAAGGTGGAGGGCGTCTCGGGCACGGACAGCGACGACAGCAGCATCCGGAGCGTGCGGTTCAGCAAGATGGCAGAAGTGCGCGAGATGTCCCCGCACGACGCCTCGGAGGCACTTATGTCGCGCCTCTCGTACTCCGCCAGCCTTCGCATACGGCGCCAGAAGTCGCACCACAAAACAGCCCGCACGGCGCTCATGTTCTCCATCCTCGTGAGTACTCGCCTTCATTGCCAATTACGCTCCCAATTGAGGCGGAAATGTTCGAGATTCCCCGCGAAATCGCTAAGAGAAAGACTCACTTTCGTCAATGATCATCGATTTGCGTTGTTGCTTGATTGCTTCTCTGGCCTTATCGAGAGTCCAGGAGAAACAAGATAAGCGCAGTCAGACTATTAATAGTCTAGGAGATTGATAGAATATCTTACAAATTTATTGCTCAACGAGTGCAATATTTTCAGGGCAAAAACTAAGTTTCATGCTAAACATTTCTTGTGCAACTGATTTAATTAAGTCTGTGTTATTCGCACCACAGCTCTTCATTGTGCTCGACCGAAGAAGTCAGTCATCAAATTGAGTAACCAAGCTAAACTAAACTGATTAAAATTGTCTGACCACGATGATCTTGGACTCATTAAAAAGCTCAAGAAGCTATTTCATTGCGAAACATTGAAAATTACTTTTAACCACCGCTAGAAGCGCTAACGATTCTTGAATTATTGAAGTTTTGGGGGTATTGCATACAATTTTCTATCAAAATTCGAATAGTATTCTAAAGTTTTGCTAAAAATCTAGTCTAGGCAAGGCATAGATATATGTAATTAAAATTTTATCAGAAGAAATGAAATTTATTGCCATTGCGAAGTTCTAATTACTGTTTCAGCTGCTATAATTTAAGCAAATTAGCATAAATGTTTTATTTTCTGTTCTGATATCTTCAAATTCTACCATTTTATCGTGCACAGTAATGAACAAAATACTTTAGGACGCAACTCTTTGTCACATGTTTGATGTGTGAAACATATGAAGCGGCGTTTAACACAATCTTGGAGTATTCTGAGTCATAAATGTTACTTTTAAGTAAAATCTGTATTGAGAATTTGCTTCTCTGCCGCTTTGCAGTGGTTCGTGGCGAACTATCTGTTCCAGCTGGCGCTGGAGCCCAGCGACACGGCGATGGTGACTCTGCTGAGCAGCACATCGAGCCTCTTCACGCTCGTCCTAGCGGCGCTGTTTCCCTCCGCCTCGGGAGACAGATTCACGCTGTCTAAGGTCACCGCCGTGGCCGTGAGCATAGCTGGCGTGACGATGGTGACGCTCTCCGAGCTGGAGGAGCCCAAGATGTCCAAGGGCGTGATCCTGGCGCTCACGAGTGCTTTCTTCTATGCATCCTACCTAGTGTTAGTGAAGCGCAAAAGTGATACTGAGGAGAAAATTGATATACCGCTCTTCTTCGGTGAGTTTCCACTTCGTGGCACTTTCATTGGCAAATTTGTCATTACGAGCTTTCACCAGTATTATCTGGATATTAAATCCAGCCAGAATTTCTCGTGTTGGAAGCAAATTTTCATGTTTGGCTGTAATTAAGTCGTGAGTCAATTGACGAATACATATATCGTATGCAAAATGCCGACAATATTCATGCCACCAGCGAATGTGGCACGAAATCAATAAGAGTGCACTTAAAAGCTTAATTGATGTTGGTATTGTAGAGGAGAAATTAATAATTTGCTCGTTATTTTTCCCCAGGATTTGTTGGCTTGTGGAATTTATTGTTGCTGTGGCCAATCTTTTTCGTACTTAACTTCTCCCACGTTGAGCCGTTTGAGTTGCCGAATCGCCACCAATTTTCTGTGCTCTTCCTCAATGGATTGATCGGCACGGTTCTGTCTGAAGCGCTCTGGCTCTGGTGAGTTTTAACCTTTACATCAATTTCTTACATGGCAAACAATGCATTTCTTTACAAACGATTTTTTTATTATGTCAATTTGGAATGTTAAATTAGTAAAATCAGTATTTAATTTTGATATCACCATTAACTCTGCTAATATACGATATTGTGTGTTCAGGGGCTGCTTCCTGACTTCATCGCTGATCGGGACGCTGGCAATGACATTCCAAATCCCTCTGGCGATGCTCTTCGATGTGGTGCTACGCGGAAAGGCTTATCCGCTACTCTTCTACCTGGGCTCCATTCCCATGATCTTCTCCATGGCCTTCGTGGCAGTCTTGCTCAAGTACGAGGACTCAGATCCGGTTCTGAGAGTCCTGAAGGCGATGTACAGACGGCTCTGCTTCATGCGACAGACGAACATTGTGCGCATCAACACTGATCTCGAGGAGCAACAAGAGTGTCTCATTGATAATCACGATAACTGAATCAAAGAGATGAGAATAGTCTCAACTTCATATTGCTGTGGCCATTTTCCCGCAACTTTGGGAAGTGTAATGTGTTTTTTTTTTATTATTTTCAAAATTATTTAACATTTAGTCCACTTTTTGTGATTAATTTGTTTCATACGTAAAACGTTGTTGGACACACATTCCGATCGTCTTATTTGCTTGTTTTGTTCACTTTTCGCAAAGTTTTATTGCCAGTCTTAGTTATCGTTCGCATTAGACTAAAAAAATGAGACCATATAGAAATTAACACTTGATTTCAATCATGTATTTTATTAGTCCCTAAATATTCTACGAGTCCAATATAGAGGAAAGATTGACTTAGACTTTATACTATTTAGCCACTGATAAGATTGACAACATTGCTGTTTCAACAATATCTCATGAAAATTATAGAAAAATATTTAATTAGGAATTGAATAAAAATATAACGTACTTTCTTTCAAAAAAAAAAGATAAATTGAGAAATCGAAGCTCTCGAGATGATAAATTGGCTATTTTTATATGGAAATTATTGTGAAAGTTCACTTGATGAGGAAATTACACGAATGCTTTCGAATGAGTGCAATCCTTTTGAGAAGAGGCTCAGCTTCTCATGAGAGCTTTGTTTTCTTTCACACGGAACACAACACACATACACACAGAAGAGAAACAACACGAGAACACAAAGTTATAAACTGATAGAGATAAAACAGAGATTAGATGAAAAGAATGTATTTTTGCTGTTTTAGGGAATTTTCTGTAGACGACGAAGAAAATGTTTTCAAGATGACAGATAATAAATACAGAGAAATTTACTCCTTGTCTTGTATTCAAGCTTTTATCCAATCAGATTTTTAAATTTTCGGATTTTCAAATTCAGATTTGACCAGCACACGAACTCGCGGTTTAACCGTTGCTCAATGCCAGAGATAAGCGGCTCTGGGCAGATTTTTGGCCAAGTGCAAAAAGTTGAGATTGAGCACTTGGTGGAGTCAGAGGTCAATCTTCGGAGGCTTTTTCCTACACAGTTTTCATCCATCTGTTGTGACTGTTACATGTTGCTTACGCAGTAAGATATTTCTACAGAGGCGCATGAGTTACGCGATAAGTAGTGGATGAATCAATGCTGAGTGAGAGTCCGTGCAAGAAGGATTGTTGAGCTATTGAAAAATACATTGAAGTACAAAAGAAACAATCCTCAGTGTTTACGTATTGTGAGAGGTGCTCAGGACGTCGCAGTTTTCCGCCAAGACTACAAGGAGAATAGGATTTTTTGAAATCTTGTTTGGAATCCTTCTCGACTGACTATCCAAAAAGGCATTTTCTTATCTCTTCTGCAGGTTTGTTAATTCTCGAATATCGAGAAAGTTATGTGTTCTTCTCAGCCAATAATCATCTCAATACAAATGCACATACTTTAGCTTAGAATTAAACTTGTAGTGGATTTTCGGATGACTGTTTCCCTCAGAAATCAACTGTTTGCGATCAAAGGAGAAGCGCTTATGAAATTTCACACCGATAATCCGATATGCGTCTAAACCTTTCAAGTGGACACCAAGAGTTTCCACTCAATCGCCCCTCGATTTCCCACTCGCGGCCAGCGCAATCCCCACCCATTTGGCGCACGGACAGACTCTCTGGCTCTGAAGCACGCTTCCTCGTGCGCTTTCCCCGATTTTCCCGCCGTAAAGTGGGGGCTCGCCGCGAGAGCCTCGCGCGGAGAGCGCGAGAGAGAATGTAGGCCAATGTGAGAGTCGGCAACGGATCAATATTCGCCTTTTCGCTTGAGAGCCGTCCAAGAAGCACTCGCAGGAAAATTCGATCAGGCAAACAGAGTGCGTCACAGTTTTGGGAAATGCAATCGGACTTTCTGCAGCATTAGCCAAGTTGCCAAAGTGTTTCCGGTTTTGGTGACGACAAGCCGCAGCCGAAGATGGAGGAGGTGCAGTGATTCCAGTGCTTCTGGGTGAAGTTCTCTGCCTTGTTCGTGGAGGAACAGAGACTTTCCCTCCCGTGTGAAGGCGAAAATCCGCCACTGCAGGTGTATTGACGGCCGTTCTGCTGCAATTTGCAGGGTGAAAAGTGCACAAATTCGTGATTTTGCAGTTCTTGCCAGAGGAAATACACACAAATTTTCTTTCTGCCAAAGGTATTTTGCCAATTTCACCACACATTCAAGTGACATTTTTTCCCCAAGTGTGCGAAAGAAGAAAGGAAGAAGCATACAGCAAAAGTGCAGAGGAAAAATGCGTGATTAGACGAATTATGAAAAAAATGTCACCTGGCAAGGACGAAAAGTGGAAAATTTCTCCGTCCTTGCAATTGAGAGGGCATTTGAGGAAAATCACGTAATACAAACAGCTGATTACGATGGGGAATTTAGTGGAAAAAAACCAGTGAAAAAGGGCCAAAAATCCCTCCCGACTTTTGGCGAAAATGCGCCACGAGAGAGAAAATCCGCATGTAAATTAGAAGAGACGCCGTCTGTTAATTTTAGTTTCAATTTTTTACGACCTCTCTTGCGGCTCTCTCAACTCTGCCAATGCTTTTTGGGAGTGTATTTATAGACATCCACTTATAGGAAATTAAAATGAGAGTCTGTAGGTAAAAATAAAATTATGTCTGCAGAGTGAAATTTTCGGGTAAAAATATTGTGAGAATGGGCAGTTCTTGATCCCAATTCGTTACGCTTTCTTTTGTGTGTGTCATCTTAAATCACCCAAAAGCGCGTCGTGAATGCGTAATTGTGATCCAAAGGCATTTGTTTATTGTTTATGCTGCATTTCTGAGTGCCACAAATATGTATTTTCCCGCCTCTGTGCTTTCCCACAGCACTTTTCCGCGCGGCAGAAAGTCAAACTTTGTGTACAATAAGAGCAGAATTTATGGAGAATCACCGTCCATAAAGTTGATTTCAATTGTGATTTGAGTTGAATTATAAATAAATCACATGTTCAAAAAGGAGAGAACATTAATTTTCACGTGAAATGCAAACAATCTCAAGCACGAGGAGTAATTGTTTATCCGCCTGTTCTATCGTGAAGCACTATTCGAAGAACGTCAGATTCACCACGAGTTTCCCAATTGAGATGATTGAATTGTACATAAATTGCCCATTAAAGTCGTTGGTTTGTCAATTAAATCACCCGTTTTGTGTATTTTTTGACAGTTAACACAATCAAGCTAATTTTTTCATAAGAATTTTAAACTGGAATTTTATTTAAATTTGATTTAAAATGCCTAATACGATGGCTGACAATTAATGAAATTCCTGTGCTTGTCTTGCAGTTGCTCTTGTGCTGGAGATGGGACTTCGGCTTGTGATATGGACCACGTTACTTTTAGGTAAAACTAATTAAGGCTTATGCAAATGACACAATTTAAAGATAAAGTTCTCTCAATTTCTCTTGATGACTCTTTTCTGCACACACACTCTCTTTGCCAGAGTGTGTGAGAAGCAATCCAGAATGAAGTTGAAGCGACAATAGTGGCAAATATTGAAAAATTATTGTATTTTACTGTATTATAATTAAAGTTTCAACGATTTTAAAGACTTCTTGGGCATATAAATGTTTCCCAAGTAAGTTCACTGTGTCGTTCGTCAGTTAGACAACAAATTCTCCGTTTTTTTGTCATTCCTTATACTCATCTTTAACCATATAATATCTGTAATAATGCTAACATTATATATTATCGTATTTATCTATTTGCTGCCCTCGTAATACCGTTTTTTTTAATGCTAACCATTATGCTTCGTGTAGCTTTCTTTGGACCATTTTGGTTTTGGATCCCACACGTGAATGCTGAATGCCAAAGTAAGCCAAAGCCTAACTCATTAATCGCTGTCTCTGTGTTGTTGCCTCGAGAATTGTGTGTCAGAAAGTTGGTTGCAAAGCGCAGAAAATGGTGAAATTGATGATTGACTTTGCAGCACGCTCAATTTACTGCTACGAGTGCGACTCCTGGACTGACCCGCGATGCAGAGATCCCTTCAACTACACCGCGCTGCCACGTGACCAGCCGCCCTTGATGACATGCAACGGCTGCTGCGTGAAAATGGTTAGACACTCCAAAACCCGTGAGTACAATTTCCACTCTCGCACGCCCCAGTGCATTTTACCGCTCCCGAAGCTTCAAGCCAATGAGCAAGAAAATCAATAAACCTTCCTTCTTTTATGGCGCTTTAAACTTCTGTTTTATATGAAAGGCTATACTCAAGAACAAGTCGTAACTTTAACATATTATTTACATTAATCATGAATTGGCCAGTGGATTCGCAATAAATATATTACATTTACGTAGGAGGTTTACCACTATAAACTGAATCTAATCCTCGAGTGCTACATATATTCCGCAAAAATTCCTATATTTTTTAATTGTCTGGATTTCCACGAGGCGGAAAAGCGTAGATCTGGTGAAGATTATCTGCAGTGATACTAATGTCCAATACTAATACATACATAGTACATACATACATACATCGTGGATCCATCGGAAAAATGATTTTCTGCAGCCGCGTTCGGTTCTGTTCTTTCGAAAAACCATCCACAAATAATACAAGTTTTTGAGTTTTCCAACCTAAATCACAACAAATAAAACACTTTTGAGCAGTACTAGAAAAGTTGAGGATTCCTAAAAATGTAGTTTAGAAATTAACAGGGCAATAACTAAAGTTAGATATAATAGAAGTTTATTATCAGACACGAACAGTTTTACTCTTCAATTTTGCAGTAAAATTTTCCGATTTTACTCAGTTTTCGACTAGAAATTATTTAAATCTCGATTTAAAATCATCAGGCAATAACTTAATGAGTAATTTCTTCGGACATTTTATATTATTAGATAGAAAATGGTGAATTGAGGGTAAAATTCTCCCTGTCTGATAAGACTCTTATATTTTGGTCTGAAAAAAAAAACAATGAACAATTGGACAAACATAACAATACTAAATCCAGTTAATTGGACTTGTTTATAAGATACCAATAAATTTGTAGATCCAAGTCTTAATTTCTATCTGGCCATTAAAACAAAATAAAGCCTTTCAAAATTTTATCCTTTGAGCATTCTCAAAGACATTTCCTCTTGCTCTTTGGGCAGGGCACAGAAGGTAGTTAGAAAATAGAGTAAATTCCAGAGTTTGAAATAGAAGTAGTTTCCGTAGTCAAGTAGAAACTCTAGCGTAAATACAAGAACAACCGAAAACAACGACAAACTAACCTGTGACGACAGACATCATCGATTCCGTTCCTGTATTAATCTGAATTCTTTGCAGCGTACGAAGTGGTTCGGCGGATGTGCACGTCTCAACTGCAGATAAATCTCTTTATGGTGGATCATGTGTGTATGATGGAAAAATCAGGCAATGGACATATGTGTTTTTGCGAGGAAGATATGTGTAACACATCCACTTCACTTTTCTACCCGTCTAACAATTTACTCACATCTCTACTGTTGAGTTTCTTACTCACGAAACTTTTTAGTTGGTAAAAGAAAATACAACCAAAAAAATACTGCAGCCAAAATCAACATAGAAAAATTTTACACAAGAGAAAAACTACAGCAATAAAGGCTAATCTTTTTTGAAAGATAGGAACAAGAAACAACAGAAGCCTTAATTACATGAATTTACATAATTTACAGAGTATATTGTTTTGTTCAGTTAAGATCATTTAAGTTTAGGGATAAATGAAGGTTTTCTTTTAACTGTTAAAAGTGAAATAATTTCAGTATTTTCCTACGTTCTTCTTCCTTTTTCTTTTGTTATTGAGAAAGTATAATTGCATGAACGACTTAAATGCCTTTCGGTTGTTATCTTCTTATCTTTATGTCTTTAATTCAAGTAAATTTCGTAACTTTCTTACAACTTATATTTCCTCTGTAAGTATATTTAATTGTTTCTGTAAGTGCTTGGTTATCTTCCAATTTTATTTCTTTTAGGGAATCTGTTCACGAAATTTCCGTATCTTTTCCTCACAAAACAGAAAAGAGAAACACACTTGTACACTTACACTTTACACACACTGGAAATACATTATATAGAAGCTTCTTTTATATTTCAACTCGTTTATCATTTTATAACTAATCAGCTTTTGCCTTTCATTCTTGACATCTTCTTTATTCATCCTCTCAAGTTCGCCCATATAAAGAACATCCATATCTATAATATCATTTTTACAAAACATATTTTTCATTTTAAACTTAATACACAATCGCTATGGCAATAAAACGAAGCGTAAAAACTGCGATTGCACTTTTCGAATAACTCTCTCTCTTCCTCTTTAAATAAAACATTCAATAACAATTTGATAAACAAATAGTACACATAATTTTCTCGCAGATTGTAAAGCAATTTCCAAAAAGCAACAACTGGAACCCGTAGATTCATTCTCTACTTTTCCCTCCTGCTATATTTCACCCTACAGCACAGAGACGTCAAAACGCTGTCACTTTGACAAATTTTTCACAGTGAAATGTATTTGAAAGTGTCGATTTTACAACTGCCGAGTAACTGAAATTTCCCTTTTTGTGTATAAACCTAGAAAATTCCCATTGCAATTTTGTCGCACTAACAAAATTAACCGAGAGTGATGGAGAAATGAGAATGAACCTGTTCCATAAAGCCCCAAAGAATCTGGAATGCTTTCCACATATGACGCCACGGCTATGAAATTTTTTTCATGATACACTTTTGATAATTTCCAACTACCGCTGAAATTCACTTATCAGTTGGCTCTCCAAGCGGTTTATTGCTTATATTTCTTTATCATTAGAAAATATATAAATATTAGACAATTAAGGAAAGATATTATTAAATAAAATGAAAATACACAATGCTAGGAATTCTACATATGAATGAATTATTTCATTGAATGATTGTATAGTTCAGTTTCTTTTCTTCCATTTATTGGAATGAAGGAGATTAAATATATATATTGTTGAATTATGTCAATTTTTAACACTTTTTTAGGAAATGTGTAGTCCAACAATGAACAACAACAAATTTGTAAAGGTTAGAAGAAAAAAAAATTAGAGATCCTGCGCTACGAAATCTGTAAATTCATCTTTGACAAGAAGTAATATGAAAATTCAACAACAATTGTTTGAAATTGTTAATAACAAGATAGAAAAAGAGAGAAAATAAACACGAGCAAACCTAAAGAAGGAGTCTAAAGAATCATTGAATGATAATGTAAATTTCAGAATAAAAAATCGCTAAGTATTCCATAAATGAAGTCTTTAATTTATACAAATATCTTACCATGTTCATGTTTGTGTGTATATGAAACTGAGTGTCTTTTCTTTTTCCTTCTTCTTATTCTTTTCAAAAGCTTTATTCGCAGATTTTTATGATCACTTCACGTCCTCACCAAAAGGATCAGCATTGTTAAATAGATCCTCATAGCGGTAATGCTTGAATGGATCGTCATCAAAATCGCTGACGTGCTGCAGCACAAATAAAGGGCATTAGAACATCTTGAAAACTGACTCTCTGAAAAAGGATAATTACGACGTCAACAGGAAAAGCAGGCAAATAGGATTAGTACAAGTGCGAAGAGGTTAGGAAAAGATTTAGTTGCTTTTTTCTTCAATGTCACCTTTATGCGATTTTTACTAATACTTTTCATTATAATCTATTTTATGTATCATATTTTTTGTGTTCCAGAACCATAAATATAATACGTTTATTTATTACCTTCTTTTTTTCAGCATGATAAACACACAAAAACCAACAAGATAGTGTTAATAAGAATTATTAATATTTCCTCCTTTCCAATATACTCATCAATAGATTAGAAGAAGCATTTTTATTATCTACCTATAGATATATACTTTTTCTGTTACTTTTGTGATGCGCACGATGATATTAGTGTTTTTTTTATACTTTCAAGTTTTTCGATTTAACTCATTGTTCATTGTTTTCTTGTCATTTTCTCTCCATCAGAAAATTTGTCTCCGCTCAAATACAAAACGTCTATTTAGCGTTAGTTTGTTAGTTCAGCTCTGTCTCTTTTTTTGCCCTCATAAAACGCCTGATGAATGGTTGTCAATTGCTGCTATACTTCATGTTTCTCTCTTTACACGACTATTAATTTATCGTCAATGTGTGTGATTTTTAATGTGTCTCTTTTTTTAATCCTATCTCTCTTTTTTTGTTAGAAGAACGCTCTGTGAATTCAGTGAAGTTCTCATGTTGATGTTCACTGTAAAATTGCAAAATTTTCAGACTAATATCTCTCTCATTGAAAACATATTACAAAAATCCGATTGTGCATTTTCTAAAAACAAAAACAATGATTACCAAAAAAAAGGGACTTTCATGATACAAAACAAAAGTATAGTTGCAATTGCGGACAGTCATCGGCAATACGCTGTTAAAAGAACTGTCAAAGGAACCCCAAAAAAGCATCGTAATAGAAAGCAAAAACAGAAATTAGCGAAATAAATAAAGTAACTATTCAATTTAAATGTATAGCAGAAAAAGAAATTGCACATGAATGGCGACAATTTATCTTAAGGTATTCAAGGTACAAAAGTGAATCATAGGAAATTGAAAGATTTTTTTCTGTATTTTCATTGCAGGATTTCCTGATTCTATCTACGATTTTCAACATCGCAGGTAGCAAAAAGTCCGAATGCATAAACTTTACAGCCTGAGACGTCGGAAAAGTATTTTACAATGCATATGAAAAACAATTAAGGAGGAAAATAAACTTTTATATCAGATATAAAGTATTCTTTTGTATATTCCTTAGCAAAATTCGAATTTTTATAGTATAGAAACAACCCTCAAATCTTAGTTTGCAAAGAACACCCAATAAAGAGTCTGAATAGGCTTTGATGAACATCTTGTCTTGTGCAATTTTCTTTTCCACTTGTATTATAAAATAAAATAAATGATAAGCAAGTTATTATAAGAAATAATTTCTGTACAAATTCATGACCATTTGGGAAAAGAACTCACCTTGTTGAAGTCAGCAAAGTTCGCAAAGTCATTGGAATCGTCGAACTGCTTCACTTTGCTCTGAAAGAGACGAAAAAGCAATGCAAAACAATGGAATCAAACACTAAAACGATCGCTTTCACTCACTTGCATGGATTTCGGTGGCGCCGGCCGTGGCGGCGGCTGCTTGGACTTCTTTGGCGGCAGCGCCGGAATGGGCGAAGTCGATCTATATGACAATTGAGAGCTGGGCGCGATGTTCGTGTGTAGATTCGAGCCGCCACCCGTCGGCGCATGCAGAATGGCAAACGGATCCTCGTCGAACTTGTCCTTCGGAGCCGCGGTTATCGGTTCGCCGAAGGCATCGGCATGAATGTCACTGTTATCCAGGCGTGGCTGCCCACCGAAGGCATCAGCATGGTAGTCACTGATGCCTTTGACTGGCTGCTTGCTGAAGGGATCAGTATTGTAGTCATCGAGGTCATTACGTGACTGCCCGTTGAATGGCGTGTCGAAGCTGTCATCGAATCCCGAAGGATTCCCCCAAGAGTCCACTTTGGGCTTGAAAGGATCTGTAAGACAACGAAGATTAAGGGGAGAAACTTTCGAGGGTGATAAATAGTGAACTCACCTTCGTAGTATTTGCTGTCCTGCGACGTATTCGACGCGGAAACTGGCGGCGACTCCTTCTTCGGCTTGCTCTCCGCCTCCAGCGATTCTCGCACCTCGCGAAAGTCCGGGCTGAGCTTGAGATAGTAATCCGTGACGACGTCCGGATCGCCAGTTTCTATGGCTGAATTGCATGACTCGAGCGCATCGCGCATCTGGCGCTGGCTCTCCTGCAGCTGCGTTATCATGGCCTTCATCTGACTTATCTGCAGTTGAGTGTCTTGCAGCTGAAGCGTGAGACCTTCTAATTCTTTGGTACTGTCGTCATATTCCTTGGACAAATTCATCTCCTGGTCTTTCAGACTCTGCAATTGTGACCGTCTCGCATCCACTTCAGCCTCCTGCTCCTTAATAGTCTCTTCCTGCTTCGCGCACTGCTCGTTGATCTTCTTTACTTGCTCCTGTGAAAGAAAATACATCGAATAACTCCATTCGAAAGGCAATCATTCATTCAAATTGTGATGTCTCACCTGAAGATCATTCAGACGCTTCTGTGCCTCCACTTTCTGGTGCTCCAGCTGCTTCAGCGTCGCCGTGAGAGTGTCCATCTCCTTCTGCAGACTCCTAATCTCGCCCGTCTTGATCACAATGTCCGCCGCCCTCTGTGACATCTCACGCTCCAGCACTCGACGCTCCGTCACAATCTTCTCGATCTCTTCGGCCATCATCTTCAGTTCCGGGTTTGAGTATGTCGGTTCCGGCGTCTTTGACGCCACGAGCGCCGGTGCGTCCACCACCGGCTGGTCGCCACGGAGACTCGGCGGCACCATGTTGGGCGCCAGTACCGTTGGCGGATCGATTCCGCGCTTCTTGCGCTCCACCAGCCAGAGTGCCAACGCGAACTGCTCCGAAGTCAGCTTTCCCGTCTGCATGCTATCGCACAGCGCCCAGATGTGCGCCAGGCAATTCTGCGAGACGCCTGACTGCAGGAAGATATCCTTGATCTCCAGTCCAGACACCAGGTCGTCATTGTCCATATCGCTGCGCTTGAAGATCGCATCGAACTGCCGCTTCTCCTCGGCGCTCACCACCCAATCCACTGCTGGCTTCGGCAGCTCCTCCGACAGCAGGCTGAGGTTCGACAGCGCCGCCGTCGGAGCGCGCGGAACATCCGCGATGAGAGACGCGGGCAGAGATGGAATCGCTGGTGGCGGAGCGACGGGCGGCGGAGCCAAATCCGTGGGAAAATCAGCGAAGAGTTCAGGCTCCTCCGCGACGGGCGCCTTCGCGATGCTCTTCTTTAGAGCGGTCGGCAGTGCGGCCGGAATCTGACGCTTCTGGAGAGCGTGGTAAACAAGGTGCATGGCCTAGAAGAGGAATTAGCGTGCTGTGATGCTTGATAGCAAAATCACTGTACATTGTGACACTTCTTATCGCGCTTCGAGTGCTTTCAGTAGCTGAAAGAGCGTGTGATAAAATCTCGTAAATCTGTGCTATTCCACGCAATTTGCTTCTCATTCCAGAGCATGATTAACTTTACTGTGCTCTAATGCATTGGTGTAGTTAAGATACCTATCTTGACTACTGATTTTCTAGTACAATAAGTTAAAAATTCTAATTTCTATCTACAAGTTTTGCCACAGAGACTCAAAATGTTTTAAAAATTCGTCTCTGAGCGTGAATTGCGACTTTTTCGAAGAATAACAACCCAGATTGATATTTAAAACCAACTATTCTTCAATCAAGTTTGCAATAATAAGAAAGGAATTGCGCCTTTTCAGCCCATCTCTACGCCCTTGCTTAACTACTTGCTGTTGTGAAATCTGACACTCTTCCTTTTCCCTTCTCTGAACCAAGAGAAAGAGTCAAGTAAGTCTTTATCAGCGAGCTGAACGTGCAGGGTTTATCGCAGGAAGTCAGTTCTCGATGAGAGAGTCATTATGAGATTTCTCAATAAGTTTTCACTGCTCAAAGATAAATTTCTTTATAGAATTCCAGCGCAAAAGACAAAGCTATGTATATCTCAGCGATAAGACGCAAAACTTTCAGGGCCGCAAGAAAAGAAATGCAAACATTTACGAAGATAAATCGCAATTGTGTGAGATTGTGGAAAAATACTAGCGATAACACAAGCCCTTGCCCGGGAAACTCACCACGCTGAACTCGTAGATGTCCAGGCTGCCGTCCTTGTCCTGGTCGGCTAGATCCCAGATCTGGCCCAGTGTCTCCACAGGTAATCGCGACTCCATCAGCACGCCCTTGACCTTGTTGCCGGGCAGCAGGCCGTTTTCCGGGCGCAGGGAGTTGAATGTCTTCTGATACTTCGCCTCGTCCAGGGCGCTCATCGCCCACTCGGTGGAGTCATCGTGCAGCATCACGGCGGCGGGTGGCGGCACCTGCGGCTTGATCTTGGGAATGTCGCCCACCTTCGGCGGATTCGGCACGCTCAGGTAGATCTCCGTGAGGCTCAGCTCCGTGCCCTGCTGCGCCATCGACACCAGCTTCAAGGCCGTGTAGAAGCCCTGCTTGTCCAGGTAGCCGCGGCCCTGCGGGTCCGACAGGTCCCATATCTGCAACGGAAGGCGTGACACGAGTTACAATGACGCAACAGCGCCTCCCAGAGCCCCGAAGGCACACTCACTCGACTCAGAACGACGTCACTGAGCGCGGACTTCTTGAGGAACTTGGCCGCATCCATGGCCCCGAGCATGGGGCTGTTCTTGGGATTGGCCTGCTTGTAGTATGCCTCATAGATGGCTGCATGCTTTCCAGCAATCTGTGGGCGAGGAAGCACGCAAGAAAGCGCCATGAAAGGACATTCGTTCGCCCAATCAATAACTCCATGTCAGCCAATCAACAATGTCTCCCATGCGAGCCCGTTTTTCCACCCCATTTTCCCACCTTTGCACGCTCACCTGTGCCAAATTCGATGGCCCACTCATCGCGGAGAACACTCAACTCTCTCGTGTGCCACTAAAATCGCCAATTGGGCGCCTCAACACACCTCTAATGGCACAAAAATCGGGCCCCGAGAAAACAAACAAAATTTTCGCACTAAACTCAAATGTCAAATCGCACCCCGCGATTAATGCCGCGAGGTGGCGTCGCGAGTCACGTGGCGCGCGCGCGGTGGGCATTCTTTTCAAATCCGCAACAACGCCCACTCAACCGCCGCGGGCGGGCAGAAGTGCAGCACGGCGACAAACAGGTGGTTTGCTCTCATTTCTTTTTCGTCGTCGCACCTTTTACTACCGTTCGCGATACCCACTCATATTGCAATCAATCAGCGCACTGGGAAATTTTATTGGTGGCCGAAAAAATGCACTTTTATGACAGTAAATTGCGACACTTTCGACATTTCCTTGCGCAAGAGAGACTTTTCGCCAGACTTTCGCGATTCCGGAACAATAAAGATTTCTGCCAATGATAAATGAATGCACTGAAATTTATTTCTTAATGCTCGCACACACTGAATCTCTCTTTTTCCCCTTTTTCCGCTTGTTTCGCCGTTTCGTGCGTCTGATGATCGGCATTTTGCCAAAGGTCAGCATGAAAATAATATGAATAAAAGTGTTTGTTTTCCATTCACACCCGTTTTGTTCTTCCGTTAAGAATTTCCCAAAATCCGGGAAATTTATCATAGTTAAATCCGAGGAATTAATAAAAATGATGCTATAAAAACTCGGTTTAAGGTCTTTATGCAAATTCTAGAACACAAGTAGAAAAGTCACACGATTCTGCAAAAATTCGTAAATATAAGATCTTCTGAGTTGTTTATATTCTTTTTAATAACTATGGCGATTGTCTTCAAGAAATTTTTCACTTCAATTAGGATTTATTAAGTTTTATGCATATAGTTAAGTTCAAAAACATACAAATGCCCCAAACCGATTCTCATTAAGTGCGAAACACACAAAATATGAAATTTTGTCGTCTAAATTTCACAATTTATGTAGTTTCAAAATGGAGTGTCCGAAGTAGAAATCAGAAAACATGTATTTCAAGATAATCAAGCATGAATCAGCCTCGAAAATAGTGCAGAGGAATTTGTAAAATATCATCACACCTTAATCACAGTTATTCAAAGTTACATATTTTATTATTTTCTACTTACGATAGATTTCTTCTAATTCTGAGCTCATTAAATTCCTTCCTCGTAAAAGTTGCGCACAATTTCCTGCCAAAATCAAAACACCAGCTGGAGAAAAAGACAAAGTGCGATCGTTAAGAAAGATTTGGCATTTTTTAAGTGCTAATTTGCAACATTTAAGACTTGCTATCAAGATCGCAGTCAATCAATATTGAATGAAATAAAAAGTACAATTTCACTTTTGCTCTGGCAGTGAATTGAGACCATAAACATTTGAACTGAAATTGATAGCTGCTGTCGTGTTGACTGAATTTTCTGGCTGCGAGGAAAAACAAACGGAAAGACATCGATTCATGATCAAGCGACGAAACCAGCGCGGTGACTTTGAGACGAAAAACAAGGGGAAAAACACACTTCCGAAACTTTACGTAATTTCTAACTCCTCTCAGACACATTTCATGTGTCTACATTCCTTCTTAACAGATCATTAGCAAATCTGGGCTTTTCACTCAAAAATCAAAATACCGCAATAATTTGTTAGCTCAATTTAAAGCTCTCCAAGACTGAATATTGCAGATATATTTTTACTCTGCTTTCCAGCATATTATCTCCCCCTTGGTGAAAAGATGACTAAAGTGGCATCGAAGAGGGTCGCGCGCAGATAAAATGTGACCTTATCGGAGGTTCTTCTTTGGTATTTCGTGGCAAATAAAGGTGGGGCGCAGAAGACAAAATATATGAGCGGGAGACAATCGTCGCGATCTCTAGTCGTGAAGACGTTCCGCGAGAAAACCGGAATTCCAAAGCTCATATTTTGATCATACTTAATTTGCCTGTTTATATGCCCATGAATTGCCCGCCAATATTCGCGCATGATAGTCGCAATTGAAGTGCCTTACGGTAAATCCGCGCGATTGCAGGAATAAGTGCTCCAGGTGAGATTCAACCGACACGATTTCCCGATAAAACCAAATAAATATTCATGCATCGCGCAGGTGTGCTTGTGTGCATCGAGAGCCGTTTTGAGGGTTAAGGTAAAGTGGTTGGAGAAAAAATTGAATGGTGAGAAATTCGCGTCTCTCAATGACTGCATCTGACCCACTCGAGAGCCTATTTGCAAGTGTATCAAAGCCAGTGTCGATGTGTTGAATTTGGTGTGTCTTTCACTTTGGGATCACCAGCAGAACACCTGCGAAAGGCGCCCAGAGATCAAGAAAAGTGAACGTTTGAATCTCTCACCTTGCCAACCCGACCACTCAGTCTACATTGAGATCTCCGCCGCGTTAGGTCAGTGTGCTAAAGTTACTGCGCTCGTGACACTCTGGCATATGGAGCAGAGTCAGGTGAAGAAGGTGTCCTTTTCCGACACGGAGGACGACGCGCCACCGGGGCCGCTGGACCACGCCAGGCAGCTGAACATGGCCTACATGAGCGCGCTGCACACGCCGCCCGATCCCGCCGAGGCGGAGCTGCGCAGGAGTCTGGCCAAGGAGGCCAAGTGCGCGAGTGCCACAGTGAAGCCCTTCAGTGACACGTACAAGACCTTCTTCGCGCCGCCCGCCGACGAGGCGAAGCGCGAGGCACAGCAGGAGTGCAGCGTGATGGAGCTAGAGGTCAAAAGGGACAAACTGCGCTGGCTCCTCATCAGCGAGTGCAGCGTCCTCCTCGGCGAGGACAAGCTCACCTTCGAGGGCTTCCAGAAGTGCTTCAAGAACCAGGTAAACATGATCAATGGCGCCTCGTGAGGCTCCTTCGGCACCTGCTATGAGCGCCCAGCAGCGATCAATTAGCGCCGAGCAGTGTTGAGCTTCCAAGGCAGTGGAGTAGTGAGTGAGTGTCCAAGAAGCTCCAATTGATCCCGCAGAAAGTGATAACCTGTGATTTTCCAGTGCTGAGCAAGACAATCTGGCTCTGGGATAGACTTTTCTTCTTGCACTGCTCAATTTCTCATTAGAATTTTCAAACAGTCAGACTATTCTTCGCCTTATGCATTTCTACTGAAAACTGTTCGTTATCGTTTCAACCACACTTTAATGAGAATTGTGGATAAACTACTTAACATTTAGTGGTGACTTTTGCGCCAAATGAAAGCCAATTAAATTGTCTACACATTATTTAGCAGCAAAAGTCTGGATATGCAAAACAGTGTGCGCAGTTGAGTTCGAGAGTCAAATTTCCACAAAAACTGGACTTGAATATTCCAAGTGTTAATTAGAAAATCGATAGTCAATTTGCACATTAATCACACTAGTTTTCTGCGTCCTAGCGCTCTTCTGCGCTACGCCACTGCGCGCGATAGGCGCATAAAAAAGCTCTCGCGCGCGCGTGAATGTCTGTCCTGATAGAAGCCTCCCCTGGACAGCGTGTATAGTATGTAAGAGTAGCATTACATTTAATCGCAATGTAATTTGCTGGCTGAACATTCTACTCTCGGCTCTTAATGTGTTTTTATTTGAATATTTTCCTTGACCCAGTTGCTGGCCATCAGTGCAAGCGATAGTTTTATGCCTCCTATAATATTAATAAGCCATAAGTGAGATGAAAAAGAATTGGCGAAAAAACAAGACATCAGACAAAGAGATCATTGTACGCGATAATTGGGGAGTTAATGTGTGTGCAAATGTGTGAAAAGGTGAAAACAAGGAGTGCAAAAAGTTTTACTCCTGCAAAGCATTGCGCCTTCTCAATCGGAATTGTGAAAGGTGCTACTTGAACTGCGCTTTTCCCACGGGGCTCTTTTTCTGCTCAACACTTCGCCAATTGCGCAATCTCGAGGGGTTTTTTTTTCTTCGCAAAAAGGAGAGTGGCGAACATCTTCAAAAGCTTCAAGAGCCAATATATTAACTTAGCGCAGAGTTGTTCTTTTTTGCAAAATTAGCGCCAAAATGCTTGTGTGAAATTTTAATGGTAATCACCTTCGAAATGACCATAATTAAAGTCTTGTTCTTTTAAATCTACTGCATCACAACTTTTTAATTTAAGCACAAATATTAAGAGACATAATTTATTACGTGATGGACTTAATGCTCGTATTTCACTTTAATAATATCTCTATTAAATTATATGTTATTATGTGATTAATATACCAATAGAGGAGGATCGATACAAAGTACATTGTGTACACCTCCTTCGAGCTATGTGCATAGAATTCAATTATTTTAAATAGATTGTAATAGATCACGGCGCACAATAACTCAAATTGCATATTTAGAGACATTGTTAAAGATTTTTGAGGTGCGACAAGACGAAACTCACGGGTTTGTAGGTTACCAAAGTTGATTGTTGAAATTTGGTCCGCAATTAAACTGTTGTTTTTCATACAGATACATATGTACAAGGCACATATAAAACCTACTCCTTTAATTCTATTATGGTAATCTCGATTACTTGCATATTTATGAACATAAAAGCGTCTTTCAATTAAATAAATCTATAAATAATCAGTTTGAATGTATGTTTATATGAAATTATTAATTAAAACTTACTTTTCGTTCGAAATACCAATGCAATATTGGTCGAATTTATTTCATTGCTGGATCCACTCAATTCTACTAAATCATTTCAGCAAGAAAAGCTTCATTCCAACAATTGTTCCGCAGTATGAATTAATAATGATACTTATTTTTGTCACTTTGACCGTCAATTCAAAGGTACAAGAAATGAAGGCTGGCAAGCTAATGTTCGTAATATGATCTTGATCGTTCATCACCTTAATATACAATCATAGATCAGAAAAGTAATAATTTAGCGGTTCGTTGCAATTGACTTTTAAATAAGAGGATCATTGAGCATTTAGTCATCGTGTATGGCTAATTTAGATCACACGTGGATAAGCTTAGCACATTACATTGACTTTGTATGATTTTTCGAATATATAAATCGCTTTGTTATGCAAATAGTTAATTAAATAAATTGAATAGCCAATCCCTTCAGGCAATTCTCGTGAGAAGTGTGGTGTTATTGTGTTGTCATGTTGTCTGGCGAGACATCCTTAGCACGTGATAAATGCAAATGCGCGGAGAATTGGCTGGACAAAAGACATTTTGGACTGAATTACTGAATTCAAGATCTTCGGGTGGACTTTCACTTTTTATGTGACCAAATTGAGATCAGGTGAAAAAAGGGGCTTTTTCGCTTCAAAACTCACGCACAAATTAGAGATCTTTCGTGACTTTGAGTAACCTTTTTAATGATCAAACTGAGGCATATATTTTTACGACACTGACTCTGTATCGAATGTGTAATTACACATGTGCAGTTAATTGGTACATTGGCAAGATCACACCGACCATTCGGTCAGTGGAGAAAAGGCGATCCTTTGAGCGCCGTCACAGCTGTGATCTTGTCTCTCCTCCGCGATTTAATATGTCACGAGACCTTCTGCAGCGCGAGTGGGGGATTCCGATGAAGAGAGGCGCATGAAATATAATTTGTCTGACACACTAAATGCTAAAATGATCGTCGTAATATTGGAAACAGAGACTCGCGAGATCATCCTTGATCTCCCGCGATTCTCCTGCGCGCTGTCGCTAAATCACGTACAACTGTGACGAAAGATTAATTGGTAGTGAGAAATGTCAAAAATTCCTCAGTTAATGATTGAAACATTATTGAATGAATCATGAGGTGCATTTTTTCCCAGCATAAGATGCCAATTATTCTCGCAACATGTCATCGATTTTTTCTGTCCGGCATGCAATGTTCTAAAGAAACAACTTTTTTTGTGTGCCACAATTCATCACCCTTTAAATGCATACACACAAATTATGAATTATTGCATTCACACATTCACGACATTCCACACCTGGAATCGGTGCAATTTCCATTTGATTTTCGCGCGCACATTTTGCTCGAGCGCAATATGATTATATATATACTTTTCATGTTGACATGCGCGCGCGGGGGAAAAAAGTGGTGTTTGACCGCATGAAAAATTAATTACACAATTAATTAAACTCTTGGCTTTTTGTCATTTATTCACGCGCGCCAACACACCTTTTTACCTCGCGATCTTCGCCGCGTGCGCGTGAATTCTACAGATTCTCCACACCAGCAACTTCCTCCGCCATCGATCACGTTCGCGCTCTATTGTAAAGCGCAGCGTCTCAAGAGCACGGCTAAACACCTGGTAATTTCACTTTCATTGACACACTGCGCGCGGAATTCTTCGGCGTGCGATGTGGGATATTTGTCTGCCAGATAAAGAGATTGATCATTTGCATTATCGCTGAATAAATAATGGCCAACAACGGTGTAGGATTTCGGTGTGGTGTGAAAAGTCTGCCTAAAGATCCAGCAATAAATCACAACATTAACGCGTGATTATGTAAGTCAGAAGAGAAAGGGCGGGTGTAGGCAAAACGGAGATAATCTGGCTAAAGTTTGTTGTTCTTCTGCTAAATTACTCACTACTTCCACCATAATATTTCCCCCTTTGGCGCGAACCTTCGCGGAGTGTCTCGACATTGATGGTTTATTAGGTTTCTTCTCAGCGTAACTCGCAATGATCAGAATAATTACCAATTGAGTCAATTCAATTCCAGTGCTTAATAAATTTGATATTTGAGATTTCTCTCAAGCTTTCCGGCAAAATCCCGAGTGAGAGATCATACAATACAGTTATTCAGCTATTAAATGCAGGAAATATGATGTAAAGAAATTCCGATGAAACACGCAAATAAAAAATCATGATCAATTGGCAATATTGAGATGAATTGAATCCATTGATTAAATCTCCTCTCGAGAAAATTAATAAACCTTGAAGGATATTCGCGAGATAATAAAATTAACGTGCTTGTTCAACATGAGCACATTTCACCAGCTTTATTGTTTTACACACTCCAGACGCTCGAAATCATGACAGAAGATCATTGGCGATCACATTAATGTCTCGATGAATTATTATGAAAACTCGTTACAAGATATTTTCCTCGTGAAATTGATTCTCTTATCGCCGAAAATCGGCATTTTGAGAGCCAATTGTATGACTTTTATGGTCGCTCAATCATGCTCAAAAGGTGCAATAAACTCCTGCGTCAAGATCGCAATCGCGATCGTTGCTGACATTAATTTATTTGCCTTTCGCAGAAGTTTCTGCGGAATTTCTTCAGGCTCTTCGACCTGGAGAACGAAGACACGCTATGCCAGGAGAAGTGGATTGAGCATCTCAAGGGGCGTCTCACGGAAGAGAAGCAGATCGATTTCGCCGAGCAGCTGGAGTCCGTTGCTTACGTCCTCTGTGGCGATGGCAGGATCTCGTTCGAGAAGTTCTGCGAAATATGGCACGCGAAGGGAATCCTGGACAAGCTCTACCGCCTGATCGACACGGACGGTCTTCATCAAGTCTCCACGCATCAGATCATGGAGTTCATGTCCAATCTCACGAACGCCCGGCCGCGGACGGGTTTCGACAAGAGCTCTCTCGATCGCCTTGAGCACCTCTTCAAGAAGACTGTGGGAAACGAGCGGGAAATCCGACGCGAGGACTTCAAGAAAATCGTGACGTCGAAGAATCCCTTCTTCACAGAGCGCGTCTTCCAGATCTTCGACAAGGACAACTCAGGATCGATTTCACTGCCGGAATTCATCGACGCCATGCACCAGTTCGCCGGGCAGTCGCCGGAGGACAAGATCAAGTTCCTCTTCAAGGTGTACGATCTCGATGGCGACGGTCTGATCCAGCACCGCGAGCTCCAGCACGTGATGCGCGCGTGCATGGAGGAGAACGGCATGCGATTCTCACAGGAGCAGATTGAGGACCTCACGATGGCCATGTTCGAGGATGCTGATCCCTATAACCGTGGCGCCATCACGTACGAGGCGCTGAAGAACCAACTGGAGAAGCACGGCGGCCTGCTGGAGAACCTCAGCATCAGCATCGACCGCTGGCTCGTGCCGCTGCCACAGGAGCCGGCCAGGAAGGCGAAGAAGCCGCTGCCGCACCAGCTGACGACGCCCTACCTGAAGAACAACTACGTCTATCTCACCTTCCTCTGCTTCTTCGTGGCCATCAATGTGGGACTGTTCATCTCGCGCGCCATCCAGTACAGAGAGAGCAACGGATTCGTCATTCTTGCCCGAGCCTGCGGTAAGTGAAATCGCCGCAGAGAATATGCCCAAGGAATACGTAATGCTCTGCTTTCGCCGTGGGAGAGTTTTTAATGAGACCACACGATCGGAATAATTGATAGACTCCCAGCCAGAGCTGCTCTATTTATTGGGAAAATCACCTAGATCGAAAATTAAGATTGAGAACTTAGTTTTTCTCTCATAATTCACTTTCTCATTTATCATTATTTTGGTATTGACGGCTCTGTGCAACTTTTATGTTCCAACCTTATTCGACAAATGGTTTACTTTTAACACATTCAAAACGAGATCTACAAAATTGCATAGGCAAGTAAGTTGAGAGATCTGCGCCATTCCGAAAAATCCCCATAATCTTCATCCTCAAACTATGCGGTTTACCACTCTGCCTTCCTCTGCCCGTCTAATTCGATTGAGTCGTCGTCTGACCAACTTCCGATCTGGTCAGTTCCAAGATCGGCGAGTCGGCGACAAAAAGCATGTCTTGGAGGTTTATTGTGAGTTCTCTTGGGAATTTCTGCCCCGCTTCTCGCTAATTCACTGTGATTTCTCAATCAGTGGCTTCTCGCGCTCCTTCTGGCCTCCGTGGCCCACATTGGCGCGACCGTTGACCTGTCCAACGTGAACCTGGCCACTTTCAAGTACTTCAAGCGCCACGAGCTGAGTCCCGTGCAGAAATTCCAGTCCGTTCTCGTGTACTTCACGCTCCTCCTCTTCGGCCATCCGCACCAGTCGCATACATTCCCTGTTTATTTCGATCCGGAAGCCGGAAGGCGCTGGAGACCACACTTCCAGCGACAGTTCGGGAGACATGGAGAGAACCTGATCGCGCTGCTGGGCAGCGGGAAAACGCGCGGAGATCTAATTCACTATGGAGCCATTCCGAGGAGTTTTCCGCGCTTCTAAAATAAATATTTGCAGACTCTTCTAAGTTGTGAATAAATCTACTGGTTTGGAACACGTTTTTTTTGTCGATGATGATCTCAAGTCAATAAGAGAGGAAAATAAATGATTCTGAAGATCTGTCGATCAATCACTATTTAAATATTTGACGATAATAATAATTGATCATTAATGAATTCTGCTTATTCAAATCGTTTTTCAATCTGTGAAATTTCACACATAATAAAGGCCAAGGTTGAAAGATCATTCTTCTTATCTCCAGGACAATGTCTCAACTTCAACTGCGCCTGGGTCCTTGTGCTGATGCTGCGTCACACGATCACCTTTTTGAGGACGCGGGGATTGGGTGCTTTCATCCCGCTCGACCATCACATTTACCTGCACAAATTGACGGGCGTTATGATCGCCGGATTCAGCTTGGTTCACACCATTATGCACCTCTTCAACTTCACCCTGATCGTCGCCCACGATCCTGTGGTCAATCACGGCAACTACTCAGCCGCCACCTGGATCTTCACAGCTACTCCCGGCCTCTTCGGACTCATTCCAGGCTACGCGAATCCCACTGGAATTGCGCTGCTGTGCGTCCTCGCCGTCATGTTCATCTGCTCGCAGCCTTTCGTGCGACGCGGCGGAAGCTTCGAAATCTTCTACTGGACGCATCTTCTCTACGTGCCATTCTGGTTCCTGGTGCTGATCCACGGGCCAAACTTCTGGAAGTGGTTTATTCTGCCAGGACTTATTTACACCTTTGAGAGAGCTTTGAGGTGAGATCTGCAAGATCTGATGATCATGTAAAATATCAGACACCATATTATCTTCCCCTGAGAAATTTCAGATTAATCTGGATGCGTTCGCAGCGCGGGAAGACCTACATCTCCTCCGGATTGCTCCTACCGTCCAAAGTGACTCACTTGGTCATCAAACGTCCACCGCATTTCCACTTCCGCCCTGGTGATTATGTGTTCGTCAACATTCCTGCCATTGCCAAGTACGAGTGGCATCCTTTCACGCTCAGCAGCGCTCCAGAGCAGGAGGATTACATGTGGCTCCACATTCGAGCCGTTGGAGAGTGGACGAATCGCCTCTACAGCTACTTCGAAAGGGAGCAGAATCGCCTGCACAGCGGAGAAATTCCTCCGGCCTCTTCTCAGGACATTCTCAGAAATGCTCCAAAACCCGCGAAGACCAACAGCTTTGAAACCCGCATGGAGAAGGTTAATGAATCCATGGAAGCCAACGGAGAAGCCTGTGAAGAGAAACCAGCGAGAAGTCTTCCAGGAACGTCCAAACTTGCTCTGGACAACACGAAACCAGTAAAGTTTGAGCGGCAGATTTCTGAGAAAACAGCAATAAAGAAGCTTCAAGCGTAAGTTGGAGACCCACAGATCAACTTACAATTGGTGATGATCACTTTCCTTGTGCAGATCCATCCAGAGAACCTTCTCCAATGCTGACAAGCAGAAAAATCCCGCAAACGGAGAATACTGGAATGAAGGATTCACCATGAAGCCAGAAGCAGAGCCAGCGAGACCGCCCGTTCCCAGGAAACTCACTCCGGAAAAGAACTTGAGGATGCTTCTGTTCAACAACAAGGCGCCACTGGAGAAATCCCTCTCCATGCCAGACGTGAATAATCGCGTGAAGAAGCGCGAGCGCTTGATGGTGTAAGTTTTTTGCAATCTGAATACGAAACACTACGGGTGCACTAATGCCCTTAATTTCTTTGTCTAGATTGAGAGAATACATGCGATCGGAGTCCGAGAGATCCTTCGATGAGGGCCAAATGCGCAAGGCTCGTCTGCAATCTCTGGGCCTGGCCTATTTGAGTCCCCAGAACAAGTCTCTGGCCCAGAGCTTCCGCTACATGCGCAACAAGCCTACCATCATTGCTTTCAAGACGCCGAGCTTGGAGAACTGCGAACAGAGACCGTCCACTAATTCCATCGGCTCGATGAGTGAGTAGTTTAGCTAGGGCAGAACGCATGCTCAGGACCTCTATTCCACTGCTTTCATTTACAGTTGTGTCTCCTGGAATGTACACGCAGAAAGAGGCCGAGGAAGGCAAGATTCTCAGGCGTCTTGGCAATGAAGAGAGCGAAAGAGGACCTCGAGCAGTGAATTATCCAGTCGGAAAGCCTCTGGAAGTGAGTTTTAACATTAAACAGTACCATAGAATTGTTCAACATTTCGAATCTTGCAGATCTTCATCGATGGACCTTATGGCGCTCCTTCGAGTCACATTTTCAGGGCTCAACACGCAATTCTAATTGCTACAGGCAAGTTGGATCCTAAATTTTCACTTATTCTTAATTCTATCGTCATCAATCTTTTGAGGTTCAGAAATCGATCCATTTCAATTGAAAATGATCGTTTAAAGACATTGAAGCACCAAACCTGATAATTCAATTCATTTCTCCACAGGAATCGGCGTGACGCCGTTTGCCTCCATCCTGCAGTCCATCATGCATCGCTACTGGAAGGCGCGCCATTCCTGTCCGCGCTGCAACTTCCAGTGGTCCAGCGAGATCCCGCAGAGTGTCATGAACCTGCGCAAGGTGGACTTCTTCTGGATCAATCGCGACCAGCGCTCCTTCGAGTGGTTCGTCAATCTGCTGTCGCAGCTCGAGATCGAGCAGGCAGAGCTGGGCGGCGCCATGGAGCGCTTCCTGGACATGCACATGTACATCACCAGCGCCCTGCAGAAGTCCGACATGAAGGCCGTGGGGCTGCAGCTAGCGCTGGACCTCCTGCACCAGAAGGTGAGACTCACCGAGATGGATTTCAGGGGATTCTCACGGTTTGTTTCGTTTGCAGGAAAAACGGGACTTGATCACTGGCCTGAAGACGCGCACCAACGCCGGCCGTCCCAACTGGGACAAGGTGTTCAAGCAGATCCAGGATCAGCAGCGCGGCAAGGTGACAGTGTTCTACTGTGGACCACCGCAGTTGGGCAAGACACTGCGCTACAAGTGCGATCAGTACGGCTTCTCCTTCCGGAAGGAGATCTTCTAGCATCGCTCACGAGATTTTGTACCATTTTCTTTGTTATTTATTGTAAATGTAAAAAAAACACAATTCTCTACTTGCCTTTCTTCCTCTTCGCCGCCTTCAGGGCATCCTCCAGAGGCACCAGATCTGTGATCTTCCTCCTCTTCACCTTGTCTTCCTTCAGCCGCTTGAATTTCCCACCCGGATTGTCGGGCTTCTTGAAGATCTTGCGTTTCCGCTTCTTGGCGTCCGTTGTCTCCTCAGGTGGCGCCATCAGCTGGGCATCGTTGGCGGATTCAGGCACCACACAATCCTCTGCAGTTACGGGATCGCTGGAGATAATCTTCAGTTCCCCACCATCGCGATTGAGAGTGTGATAAAAGTTCGAGAGCGCGTCGAGTTTGCCAAACAGAGAGTTCAGCATCTTCGTGATCTCCTTCTTCTCGGGCGCTTGCTTCTCCTCTTCGGCTTCCTGGCCACTCCCGGTCTGCTTCAGGTACGATTTCTCGTACAATTCGCTCAGAGGAACGGAACTCTTGTTGTGATCCAGTACGAGTTCCTTAGTGAAGCGCGTTTCGTTGTTTTCGCGCACTTTCCGGACGACATTGTCGTAGCACTTGGACTGGATCCTCTGGACGATAATATCCTCGAGGCTCTTGGAGGTCTTCTCGGTGATTTGAGGTTGTGGTCGAGCGCCCAGGTCGAATTCCAGCACTTCTTCAAGGAGATTGTTCTTGTCTCGCTTCGATCCTGTGATTTCACCCTTCATTTGCCATGACCTTCCCTGCAGAGCTTCATCCTCGAGCTCAGAGATCTTGTCCTTTAGCTTTTTGGATACCTCCTCGAAAGTAGATTTTGGGTTTTCTTCCCCTTCGGCTTCTGGCTCGCCCTCTGATTCCTCTTCTTCCCCTTCTTCACTACCGACGTCATTTTTTTCCTCTTCTGATTCTTCCTCCACAGGATTCTCTTGCTCTACTTCCTCTCCCTCGCTCTCCTGATCTTCTTCTTCTTCTTCCAACTGCTCTTCTTCGACTGCCTGTTCTTCCTCAACACTTTCCAAAGTTTTCCTCAGAATTCTTCCACATTTGTCCACAAATTGAGGTATCACCGCTTCATTATTGATGTCTATTTGCTGAAAGATCTGCTCCTGGTCAAGATTATCTACCACAAGCGAGAGAAGATTCCCTTCTTCCTGGTCAATCGCCAAATCTGTCAAGCACTTCACAGTCGCCAACAATTTTGCATAATCTTGCTGTTTTCCCCTGAAAATTATAGAGATTTTTAGCGGATCTCACGCTTGAGTAATAAATCAGGACTTACTTGATGAAATTATTCTTGCTATTCATGATTTTATCGAGGTCTTTCAGGAGTTTTTCCACTCCTTTCAACTCCATCGTGAACACGTGTTTTTGTTTGGAAATGTCACAAATGAAAACAACACATATGCAGTATCAAGCATATGCTGCGTATTAATGACTAAATGTCAGTGTGTTTTGTTTTTATGGCAGTGAAAAGAATGTTTATATCGTGACAATCGTGGGAAAATGCAAAGGAAATGGGGGAAGAGGCTGTGAATCTTACGGTAATCAATGAGGAGATTCGTACCCGGAAGCACACGATGCGTCTCTGCCTCGGGAATGATTCTGATGACAAGAACAGTGCGAATATCGTCGTTGGTGAGAATTAATTGCTTTGACAAGCACTTCCGGGCTCTATATATCCTGGAATTTCCTCCTATTTTCAGATCAGACACCCACTCCCACGAGGCTAATCAGAAACTGCGAGGAGGTGGGCCTCTTTGAGGACCTCAAGCATGTGAATCCTTTCGAGGAAACCTTCAGACGCGCCGTAGAGGACGCGAAAACACCCACAGAGACGAATCTTCTGCTCCCTGAGGAAGCGAACTTCGAATCCGCGGCGAAGATTGTATCCGAGGACACTCTCCACACGCCCCACATCTTCCCGTCCACGTACTTCAGCGCAGAGGTGCAGGAAGTGGCCGAGACGCAGACGAAGGAATCCGCTGTGGAGGTGCAGAGGAAGCGAAAGTGGATGCCAGCCAATTGGAGACCTTCGTCAAGGAGCCAGAAACCTGTCCACATTCAGCCCAAGGTATCTACACCGCAAATCATCCAGCCGGCGATCATTCTTCCGCCCACGGTCATCGTGAAGCTCAATCCCAGTTCCGTGGCCGGAAGCGTGCCGGCGATCAGCATCCCAGCGGCCACAGTGACTCAGAGCACGGCGAGTATTGTGAAGAAGAGACTGAGAATCCTCTGCAGCGAGCAGAGGACCAAGAAGGACGTGCGAGTGGAGAAGGAAGTGAAAAGAGAGACGGTGATTGAGAAGAAAGACACGAAAAATTCCCCTGACCAGAGCAACAAGCTCAAAGGAAACAACGAGGCTGTCAAGAGATACAGGTGAGAAGTTATTCAAAGCATTGCCTCAAGGAACACTGAAAACACTTGGTGTGTTCTTTCTCGTTTTTCAGGGCGAAACTGAAATCATACCAAGACTTCCTGAAGACCAGCAATCAGCAGCTTCAGAATGAAAATGCCCAGCTGAAACAGCAGAATGAGAAGCTACGAAGTATTCTCAGGAAGCATAACATTAGCATACCGGAAGAACTGCTCTCGGTGGAACATGGAAAATAGTGGAAATAGAATAATTTTTTTTAAAGAATGCGCCAATTTTCATTTTTGCATACAAGTTTCACTGCTGTTTCACGTAAAAACTGAACGAAATGGCGTGTGTCATGGCTAACTGAACGAAAGCATCAAGCCGCATTTCAATCACGATTGGACACGATCTCTTCGACAAGTGATAGCCAAGCGCGGAAGGAAGATCGAGAAAATCGTCTGTTTCTGTGAGTATTTAAGAAGAAAATAGGATTTCTGCACAAAAAGGAAAGCCTTATTTCTGCTTTCATTTCGTTTCGCTAACGATGCGGTGAACATTTCACAGGTAAAATCAGCGTAAAGAGAAAGATGGAGGAATCACGAAAAATTGCCGGATCGATTTTAACAGAATCGATTCTGAAGCTCAATAATGATTGCTTGTGGGAAGTTTTCACTTACCTAGACATCCGGGAGTTGATGGTGGCTGAAAAGGTGTGTCGGTGGTTCAAGGAAATTGCAGAAATGATCTACAAAACGCGACAAGTGCTGGATTTGAAGAGTTATGATGGTTATGATCCTGGCCCTGCTAAAAAGAACTTCAAGATATTCACACTGAAGGAAATTATTGATATCTCAATCAAACTGAAGCCCAGCAATATTCACACCTTTGAGGCGAATGGATACTCATAACTTCATAACTTCATAAGAGCTCTCGTGCCGATTCTACGCAAGAGAGCAAATATCCTTGATCTTCACGGCCCTAAATTGAAGGAAAACACAATCGATATTCCAAATCTGAAGATTACATAATGAGATTGAGATGCTGAAAAAAGAATTGCAGTGGCAATAAAACAACGGAATTATAACAACATTTTAAGTGTTTAATCGCCACTTCACATCTCCTGGTTTATTTTTTTTTACATAATCCTTGTGGTTTAATATTCAATATAGAGTTCCTCTGCTATTTTTCCTTATTCTGAGTTCAAGTATTTATTCATTTATTCCAAATTCATTTAATCTCTATTCGAAAAACGTTTCCTCACAAATGAGTGAAGTTTATTGGAGGAAAAAGGGATCGAAAATAGGGACGATTTGTTATTTTTTTTTCTTCTTCGTATAAAAAATTACGTGAATCCATCGATGGATTTTTTTACTCTTTGCAAACTTGTCTTTTCTCATTTATTTAAACTTTGTTTTGGAGAAACTCAAAGAGAATTTACGTGTGGAAATAAAGATGTTCACTAGAGATAATTTGCTTTGCTCCTAAACTACATTTTCCTCACTCTTGCATTCCTTTCTTTTTAATCTCTACGCTTGTTTATCTTCCATTTAAGCTACAGTAATTTCATGCAGAGCAACTAGTTTGTTTAAGTATGATAGAAAAGAGTAGAAAATGCAAAATTAAGATCTTCTCCACTAATCTATTATTACTTTTTACAACTTTTTTCACGTTTTTCTCCCTTCACTTTGCCCTCAACTTTGCTTTATCGCGACCGAAAGGAAAAAGAATACCGAAAACTTCTCTAAGCTGGAAAATCAACACATTTAACACTGAATTGTTTGCAAAAGGATTACAAATTCAACACTTCTTTCTTCGTCATCATTTTGCTTTCAATAACAATTATTACTTTCATTGGAAGTGATTTTTCTGTGGCTCTTTATCAATTCACAATATTCATTGCAAAATATATTTTCGTTATTTTTTCATTGATTCTCACTTTCTTTTTCTGCTTCTTTTTTTTAAACATTCATTTAAGGGACGGTGATGTCAAAAAATCCAATTTTCTGCTCTTCTTCAACTTCTTTTCGTCAATTTTTTTCCATCAAAATTACATTATGGCTCGGTATTTGAGAAATTTTGTGAGAGACTAACAATTTCCATTCAATTTTTTTTTCTTTCAACAAATCCAGAACAAAACGGAACATTTCCAGGGAAAATGCCTTCGGGAAGGACATTTTGGACGCATTTTCTGTCTAAATTCTTTCGCGCATTCGCTTCTAAAGGGCACGACTTTGCACAATTTGTTTTCTTTCATTCTCCAATCAATTTTTCAGTAAGTATACAAATGTTTTTCTTCTCTAAGGACAACTTTCTTCCATTGCGTGAGTTTTAATTTTATATTGCAATTAAATATAAATTGGTTAGACAATTCTAAATGTAAATAAATTGAATATAACAATTACTTCATCTTGTGTTGAATAAATAAAATATATATATATAATATAAAAAATATCGATTAATATAGGCAATAATTGGAGGAATATTGCAGAAGCGATCCGCAGTAAACATAAGTTATTCAAATATGTTAGACAAAATTAATCACTTTTCTACCTTTTGCGCACATCGAGAGACTTTCTTTCCCCGCTTCCCATTCGAATGTTATCAACCAAATTTTATAGACACTTTTCTTCCTTTTAATACTATTGTTCCCCGTTTGCAATTCCCCAACTTTTGCCATTCATCGCAATATTTGGTCTACGACGTTCTCTTTCTTTCTATCTTTCGCTCTCTCTCTGTCCATAAGAAACTCATCTTGATATTCAATAATTTCTCCTCTTTCTGAAGATGCCCAAAAGAAATGTAGGCAAAAGGAAAGACCTACATCTTCAGCAGTGTGGAAACTAAAGCTAGAATCTTGCGATGCATCGAGAGTTCGTGTTAGAAAAAGTTGTTGGGGTTGGAATTGTTGCTGTTGCTGCTTCTTATGGGCGTTCGCGAAAAGGACGACTTCGAGCCGCCGCGCGCCGGCTGCATTGGGCGTCTGGCATGGCGCATTTCCCTACAAAGCACCAAAAATCATTATAGAGATCCCGTAAAAGAGGCTGATGGCAACTCACCTGTCCATCTCGATCTCCTCCAGGCGCTGCGTGAGTGTGAGCTTCTGCTGCACAGCCAGCCTGAGCAGCTGGTTGAGCGTCTTCTTCTCCTCCTCAGCCGCCACCAGCTGATGATGCAGATCGTCCACTTGCGTCACGTACTCCTCGCACCGCGCAGCGAACATCGCCCGTAAGCCTGCGGAGAGTGAGAGAAGAAACACAGGTCAAAATCAGGTCAAGATTGATAAAGATTTGAAAAAGAATGGATAAATTTTCTGAGTTTGCCTAGAAACACCGAATAAAAAGATCTGCGGTATGCAAAATTGTCCCATTTTCCCCTATTTTATTCTTTTGTACTCACTTGAGAATGTCGCGGCGTCTTCCTTGAGCAGTCTCAGCTCATTCCTCAGCTTGGACATTGTCTCGCTGACGACCAGCTTCTCGTTCTCGTACTTGGACTTGAGATTGGTCAGCGCGACCTCGGCCGTATTCTTATTGGACTTTAATACCGTTCGCAGCGTGGCGATTTGTTCGCGCTTGGCGGACAGGAGACTCTTCAGTTTGATGATTTGCTCCTGCAGATCCGCGATCTCCTCGCGGTTCTCCTTGTCCTCACCCGCGCTCGCCGTGCGTCTTGTGCCCTGCTTCATGTCGATGGTCTTCTCCACGGACGCCTTCAGATACTTGATCTGGTCCGCCAGCGTGTCCACGTACTTGCGGATCTCCACGGCGTCCGACAGCGCCTGCAGATCCTCCATCGTCTGCGGCTTGCCGGTGAGCGTGTCGGACTTGAATTGTGCCTGGATGGCGGACAGCGAGTCGCTGCCCAGGTCGTCACTCTTGTGGTCCAGCAGCACACGGTTGGGCGTCTCCGCGTTCACCGTGCAGACTAGATGGTACAGTTGAGCAAGATCATCGCTGAGCGCCACGAGAGTGTTGCGCGCCGAGCCCAGACTCTGGCCAGCGTTCTGCGAGATGGCCGTGAGGATCTCCACGTCGCTCTGCAGATCCAGCGATCGCTGCTCCGTGGTCAGCAGGCGGTTCTTCAGATTCGTGATCTCATTCCGCAGCAGCACCATCGCGTCTGGACAATTGAGATTCTTCTGCAGCTCAATGAGGTCCGCCTTGAGGCTGTCAATCTCCTTGCCGCTGAGCAGGAACCAGCCCGTGTACTGCGCCACGAGCGCCTTCAGCTTCTCACCCACCAGATCCTCCTTTGGCGTCTTCTTGGCCATGTCCTCAGAGTCAATTTGCCGCTTCAACTGTTGCAGCGCCTCCACGTGGGCGCTCAGCACGCTCACACGCGACATGAACGCCTGCAAGTCGCTCTGACTCTTGTCCAAGTTCTGCTGTGACTCGCGCAGATTCGCCGTGAGGCACTTCTTCTCCGTTTCCAACACTTCCAGCTGCTTCTCCAGCTTCTTCAGCTCGTTCAGGTGGATCTCCGAGAACAGATCCACCTTTGTGCCGTCCGGCGACTTCAGCTCACTCGACAAATCCGCCTCGATGCGCTTCAGTGCCGGCAGATCCTCGTCCCCGTCACTGTTCATGTTATCGCCGTCCATGCCGCGGATGTTGTACGCCAGGTTGCTGATGTTGTATATGCTCTCGCGGTTGATATGTGCGTCCAGTTCCTTCTTCAGCGCATACTTGGCTTCGCGCTCGCCCTGCAACGCCTCCAGCGCCTCCTCCATTTGCTTCTCGGCGATCTTCTTGAGGTTCGCCAGCTCCTCCACTTGCGAATTGAGCAACTCAATCTCCTCCGTCAGCCGCCGGATCTCGTGCTTCGCGCCCTCGAACTCCACTTGCGAGCTCCGCAGACTCGACACTTGCTTCTGCAGAGAGATGTTTTCCTCCTCCAGCTCCGAATAGTCCGACAGCATGCGCGTCTCGCGGAACTTCAGATCCTTCAGCTCCGCCTTCAGCTTCATCTTCTCCGCCTCCGTGTCGGACTTGTCGCGCCCCATGTCAGAGTTCTCCTGCAGCATCCGATCGCGCTCGTTGGCGACGCGCTCTAGCTCGTGTCGAAGCTACAAAGAAGACAATATTTTAGCCTCAATCTCCGTCCAAAAGCCTTTTCTTCCCCGGGGATTCCACACCTGTTTCACTTCGTTCTCCAATTCTAGGATGTGCAGATTGAGCGACGTCTCCATTGCGGCCGTTTCCGTGAGCAAGGACTCTTCCTGTTCAATTCCCGTCTTCGTTGTCACCTTCTGCGAGGTCTGGAACTTGGCCAGAGCCTGAAAGGAAGCATTTCTCTCAGTGTTTCTCATTCATCTTCCCCTAAAACAAAACACTGTAAACAACATTTCAAATCATCGCCCCAGCGACCAAATGAGTCCGTCAATAAAACAGCTCATAAATTACTCTTTTGCGATTGATGTGCGTGATGGAAATAAATTAAAAAGTCACACAAATAATTGAAATTGTAGAAAAAAAACTCGAGTACTTTGAATCCGTGCGGAGAGAAACCTGCCAATTGCCAATTGACGCTGGCATGCCAGAAAACGACACGAGCGCTCAACACGCATCGGAATGGCGGCGGGCAATGGCGAAAGCAGCGAAAAGGGGCCAATAAGAGAACCAAAATGTGATTTCTTCGCATGCAAATAACGATTCTTGAGCAAATACTGCTCTAAGTTGACACTAGAGGGTCCCAAGAGGAGAAGTAACTGGGAACAGAGGGAGAAAATTGATAGGAAAGTGGGCGAAATCCGGGTAATCTGAAAGGGCGATTGAGTGGAAAATTTTTCACCCAATTTTTACCTCCAGAGTTATGTCTAAGTCATGCTTTGTGTTCTCGTAGAGCGTCTCCAGCTCCTCGCATTTCTGCTGCAGGTGCGCCTTCTCCTCCAGCAGCACCAGTCCGTATTGGGCAGACTGGATCTTCTCGCTGCTGGCGATCTCCAAATCGCGCCCCAGTCGCTCGACTTCAGCACGCAAATTATCCACTTCGCTCGCTGCCATCGTGTCACTTTCACTTATTTAACAATTATTCAATTCATTAACATTACGATTTCAGTAGACTTTATGGACGTATTGATTTCGGTTTAACATTAAAAGTGGTTTAGAAAAAAAAGATGACTGGACGATGAAAATTTCCTCCTCGAACTCCAACACAATGATGGAGGAACTCAACTGCAGCGCCAATGGAGCGTCCGTGACTGGTGTCCAAACTCCGAGTTGTCAAAAAATGTTTTGACGGCGCCTTGACAAGCACATTTTGGTTAATCCAAGAAGTTCAGATGTGTTTAGAGATTCATCGTTGATCTTCAGTGAAATTGCCTTCAACAAATTGTTGGAGGTTTTTTGGAACTTCACATTCTACCTAATTCACTGCTCAAACTGAGTTTAGAAAGCCCTAAATACAATTTTATAGCAATTCACTGTCTTTTTAGTCTTGTACGGCAATTTCACTTTTTCTCTTGCTCGCAATATCCGTGACGACGTCTACAAATTCATCGCTTACAAAGGGAGACTTTTCGCTTAAAACCACACGTGAGTCTTTTGCATTGATTTTCGCACTTTCTGCCAGCTGTAGAGCGTGATTGGCCTGGACAACTGACCAGGAATCAATCCCTGACGCGTTGCCGGAAGAATTTCCCGAGAAGCTGCTTTCGTTCGCTTGCAAACAGTGAGTCATTGTTTGGAGAATCTTCGTGGGCGTACGCAAACAGCGCCCCCGGACCACCGCCTCAACCTTCCGGAGCGTTAGATGTCGCAATGGAGGGCCGGATGCTCGAGGAATCATGCCAGAGTGAGTGGATCTGCATTGGCAATGGGATGTGAGTGACACTGATTGTCTTTGCAGGCCTGAGAAAGCCTCCGGCGGCCCCCAAGGCTTCCTTGGTGGGCAAAAAGCAGCCCCTGCAGAGCCCCGTGTCCATGCGGGTACGCAGCGTCCGCAGTCGAAGTGCCTCCACGGGGAGAGACAAGAAGTCTGAGCTTCAGGCCAGATACTGGGCGCTGCTCTTTGGAAATCTCCAGCGAGCTGTGAGTCCTGTGCAGAACTCTCGTGCCCCAAAAGATGTAATCCTGTTTCTTGTTTGCAGATCAATGAGATTTACCAGACGGTGGAGTGCTATGAGAACCTGTCGTCGTGCCAGGAGACAATTTTGGTGCTTGAGAACTACATCAGGGACTTCAAGGCGCTGGCCGAGTGGTTTCGAGTATCGTGGGACTACGAGTCCACACCTCTGCCACATAGGCCGCACTCCCTGGCGTGGGAGGTGCGGAAGAGCAATCCGGTGCCCAGTAAGTGTGACGGCGAAAGTTGCCAAAATCGTGAAATCTCACTCACAATTTCTCTTCAGAGGTGCGCACGCGAAATCTGTCCAGTCCTGTAATCTCTGGCAAGTCCAGTCCCAACTATTCGGGGAAGAACAGTCCCTGTTCTGCGACGGACGAGCGCAGGCCATCGCAGAGATCGACAGTTGAGCCAAAAGTGCCCAAGATCGCAAAGAAGATCGATCCACCAGAAGCAATAATTGTCAATAGAAGCGTTGCTGAGAGTAAGATTGAGGACAGCCCGGAGAAGGAGGTTGTGCAGGAGAGCATGGTGCAGAATCACGTGGCCGAGGAGGTGCAGGAAGTGCCGTTCGAGGAGACAGACAAGAGGATCTCGATGAATCTGGACTGGAATGAAGTGCTGGAGCATCAGGAGGTCAGCAAAATAGACCAATCTGCACAGACAAACCTCGAGGATGATCACCTGACACTAGCAATGTTCCTAGAGAAGCACAACATTCAGGGATTCTTCAAAGGAAACCAAGAAGTTGTCGAGGAGAGCATAGCGACAGTTGAGACGCCTGTCCAGGCGGTGCTGGAAGTTGTTGAGAAGATAGAAGAGCCAAAGGAGCCAGTAAAGCGTCCTCCAAGTCGTGAGGAGGTGAAACCTAAGCCAGTTCCTGGACGAAAACTCCCTCTGAATCCTCCTGCCAAAGCGCCTGTCTCTCGAAAACCAGTCTCAACCCATCAGTCATTCCACTTGAGCAAATCCTCGTCCACTCCAGCCACTGCTGCTCCTTCCAAAAGCGCCGCCGTCCAGAAATCCTCCACAACATCGAGTGTTCAGCGTGCGGGAAGAATGGCAGCGGTGCAGAAGGTGACGGATAATCGCCAGAGATTTCCAGGAGCACCTACAAACACTGCCAGGAGGATCTCTGCGCGTTCTAGCACGATGATCGATCTGAAGAACACCCGAGCGCCGCTTCAGAGGGGCCTAGCGAAGCGCTCCCAGGAAGACATGAGCTCCAGCAGCACGCTGAAGGCCAGCTCAGAACACATATCGGCTCCGGCGCGGCAGAAGAGTCACAGAGCAGATCTGAGCAGCAGGAAATCCGAGCCGAAATCCCTGCCGACAGACACGAATGATGGCTGGCTGACCGTGAAGTCGCGTTCCAGAAGATCCAGTCTCCACTGGTCTAATAGATTCAATCAGCCGTCTGGGTATGCTAGTCTGCCGATCCTGAGCCTGCTGGACGAGACGCCGGCAGAGGAGGAGGCCAGCACGGAGAAGAAGACCGAGACGATCCAGGAGAAGGTGAAACCGGTGAAGAGTCAGCGCGTAGCGGCGACGAAGCCCAAAGTTCCTCTCGCCAAGTCGTCTGTGAATGCCGGACGGATGACGAAAGTCAATGGAATCGTGCGGCAGAAGTCTGACATGGGGAAGATGGCGAGGAACAGGAAGACAGAGAGCAAATTGGTGGAAGTGAAAACTCCTGAGCCGGATGATGATGAGATCGCGAAGGTGGACATGAATATTCAGACGTTGCTGGCTGAGGACATGAGGAATGCCATCAATCTATCTAGCTGTGATGAGATGGATGATAAGGATCTCGAGGAGAGCGACGATGACCAGAAGAAGCTCCTGGAGGAGCAGGAGAACCTCGAGCGGCAGATCCGAGAGCTGGAGAACACAGAAATCGATGTCGACACGGAGACTGATGAGACAGATTGCGAAGTGCTGATTGACGCTGAAGATCCCGAGCTTGTGGTGGATGATGGATCGAAGGAGGTGGACTTCTTCGATGAGAACATGACGCTGGAAATGAAGTATCACTCCCTCCTGTCGGACATGTCATCAGGAGAGCGCTTGGAGACTCTGGCCACTCTGCAGGCTTTCGTGGCGCGTCATCCGGGACGCGCTCAGGAACTCCACCAGAAGCTTTCGAGTCCCTCGAGGCGGCGATCTCTGCATGAGACTCTGAAAAAGTACCAGGCGAAGCAGACGCGCGCCCAGGAGAAGCGCGAGTCGCTGCAACGAGAAAAGACGCAGAAGATCCAGCAGCTTCTAGCGCGTGTGGAGGACGTGAAGGCGGCTAAACAGCAGCTGATCGAAGACAAAAGGCTGCGAATGGAGGAGAGACTTCAGAGGGCGGCTGAGAATCGCACGCAATATCTCAAGGACAAGGTGAAGAAGGCGCACGATGAGGAAGAGAAGCTTAAGGAAATCGCCTTCATAAAGAGCCTGGAGGCGCAGAACAAGCGTCTGGACATCATTGAGTCGTGCAAGGAACACGAGGTGAGGCTTCAGGACCTCGAGCAGGAGCGTCAGAAGCGAGTGGAAGAGAAGGCGGCCAAAGAGGCGGCTGCCGAAAGGAGGAGACTCGAGCTGGAGCAGGAGAGACAGAGGAGACTTGAGCAAATGTGGGAGACAAAGTGAGAAATTAATGCCAATGGTGAATGTTTAGTGATGTTTAATGATCTCGTCTCTTGTAGGCGCGAAAGGGAGAAGCGAGTGGGGAAATTGCAGGAGCAGCGAGAGAAGATGCGCCAGGAGATGGCGAGGGAAAAGGCCAGGGATAGAGAGGAGCGTCTTCAGGCTATTCAGGCGCAAAAAATCGCCACAACGGAGGAATTACAGAGGAAGATCATACAGAAGCAGCAGGTATTTCACCCTTATCGCACTTCCGGAAGGCGAGCAGCTCATCATACTGGTGTGTTTTGTAGGAATCCGCCAGGAGACACGAGGAGAACATCGAGCACATTCGACAAAGGGCTCAGGAGCTGGGAATTCCTAACAGGAATACAGATGATCAGGCAGCTGAGAGCAGTGGCGATGGAGATCTCTCATCGACAGTCTCCGATGTGTCTGTGATGCCCAACAAGGCGGTGAAGAAGAAGCTGAAACGTCTTCGGCAGAAACTCTCTGAGAAGCAAGTCCTTTTCAGTCTCCAACTTCAGCACGACTCCTAATTCTCTTCCCTTCTTGCAGAACTGCGGAGTATCTCTCCGAAATGCCGGTCTTGGCGAGTCATCATCGTCGCGAGAGCGAGGTGCCAAAGATCCTGAACGTGCTGAATAAGGGCGGAGGACCGCAGGGCGTGGAGAGACCGCTGGGACAATTGCATCGTCTGGTAAGCAAGGCGCAGGCGGCGGACTTCCACTGCATGCTCTCGCTGAACGCACTAGAAATGATCACGAAGGTCGTGGAAGATGGCACGAAGCCGCATTCTGAGATCAGCAAGAGGGCAGTGATCATGGCAGTGCAGCTTTACAGGAATCTGTGCACTATTTGTCCCCAAATAACGCGACATGCGATCCTTGGTAATACGATTGTGAGGCTGTTTGACGTGCTGCTGCAGAGCATTCAGGTGAGAAACTTTACTCTATTGATAATGATTTGTGTGGAAGAAATGTGTTTTCTTGCAAAGTTCATAAAAAAGCGTGTCTGACTTTAAATATTTAGTTGTCATTACTTGAAATCTTATTATTCAAGACATAAACCAATGAAATTGCAAGAGAAATGAAAATATTTATATAAATTTTGTCATATGTCATGAGTATATGCCTGAAGTATGGCTTCACGCAATTAACTATTAAACTGGACACTTTCAGATGTCTTAATATGAAGCAAAGACACTAATTCGTCAGAATAGCAAGACATGTATTTTTATTAACATTGAAAGTGTAGGAAAAAGCTCTAAGAAACGACATCTTTAACTCGGCTTAAAGATGTAAAATGCCGGCCAACAAATGGCGCATTTAGTCGGTGGGATAAAGGAAGGCAAATGAGCGGGAAAATGGGACATTAAAATGCTCCATTGCGAGGCCCTGAGAATGTGGGAAAAGCAGTGAAAATTCGTGGGCAGGAACGTGTAGAAATCGAGCGTTCCGACTGACTGCTTCACTGTTCTTTGCAGTGTCCGGAGGAGAAGTTCACGAAGCTACCCGTGGAGTTGTCAGCGGAGCTCATGCTGGCCTGCACCGTGGCTCTCTCTCCCACCTTCGCGATGAAGCAGTCACACCCAAAATTGCTGGACCGCCTTCCCGATGTCATAAGGTGAGTGGAGAACGGCGTGCATGGTGTGTGAGTGGAAGATGCTTGAGGCGCAGCTGAGACTTGCGCACGGAGAGCCACCCTTTCCCATCTGTGTGCGCGCTGGAAGCGCACTCGCTCCCCAGGCGTCCAACAGCCGCCCGGATGGGCGCCCGCTGGAGCGCCTCTCGTCCGTGGCGCTTTAAGCGAGAATTCACCCCAAAGCGCCTTTAAGAATTTCTGCCCCAAAGTTTAGCGCGCTCTTTAAATACGCGCCACGGAATCGCACACTTGAAGCGCGCGCCCCACAAAAGGAGAGAAAGGAAGAAGAGAAGAAAAAAACTTGCGCTCCAACAGAATTGATCCGTCGAATACTCTTTCCATTTGCGATGGAATTGTGAGGCGGGATCGTAAAAAATCCCAACATATTCATAAACATCAAGGGCGATACGAAAAAGAGCATCAGGAGCTCGATAGTTTGAAATGTGCTTGAGTGACGTTGAATGGAGAATATCCCTTCTGGCACCCTCAGTCAATATCACTCCCAATTATTATGCACATATGGAAATTTATTTAAAGGTGCGCACACACACAACTCATGGGACTCACAACTCACAAGATTCAGCAGTCAGGCATCAATTTTTAATTCTATTTTATGACGTGTTGTTTTGCACTGGGAATACTGAGAGGCATGACTAGAATCTGCAATGAACTCAGACTGAGATCCTTGCCAGACATCGGAATATTTCAAAGAACGAATGTTTCTCAGACGACAAAGAGAGTTTTAGCCAAATTTTGATACTAAAATTGTCTGCTTAAACAGTTCGACTGCTCTTGGTTTCCAATACTAATCTATTGTGGTCTCTGTACAATATTACATTCATATTTTATTAGATAAGATGGGAATTCCGTCTTATAAGAGACATATAAAGTGACAATTTTACCTGATAACTTTCCTTGATTTCATCTCAGGTGCATTTATCTTCAGCAATAATAGAGTAATTTAAGAATTTCATGATTTCTTAAAGATTCATTGGGATTAGAACGTAATTTTATTTGTCTGTAAAGGATTTTCGCGAAGAATATTGCTCCAAGTTCAAGAAAATCAACGTCAGAAGCACTTCCATATTACAAGATCATTGAATACACAACTCTTAAGGTTGGAATTTATATCTTAGAAAATTCTCTGTTATATTTTAAGGAAGTCTAATCTAATTCCGAATTTATGAATTACTCATCTTACTTTTCATTTGCATCAGAAATATTTTACTATTATGGATATTGTAAGACAAGATTTGTAACGCTGAATGTGCATCGAGTTGATGAAATTTATTGCAAATCACTTAAGGGTATTAAAACTAAACTCAGCATCATTGTTGAAGGGAATTTCGTGATTCTGTGAAGCGTAACGTGGACAGATGTCGAAATATCCTGACAGATATATTTCCAATGAGAACCTTCTTCTCGAGCCCGATTGAATTTCAGTGACAATTGCCACTCAAAGGCCGCGGCGACTCGTGAAGTGCACAAACAATGCAATCGAGCATCGATTTGTGCCCCCTTTTCACGTTGAGGACTTCTCTGTGACACGACGAGTCAAAGAATCACCGCCGATTGAGGGCTTTTCACGGCATATGGAGTGTGTTTTGAGACATTTGTCCGTCCTCATGAGCTCTCGAGTGGTCTTCAGCTGGGAAATATGCAGATTGTGTGTAGGTAGCAAAAGTGCAAATTGAGCGTGAGGGGATTGTTTTTGAAATGTTATTGTATAGTTTGGTATTAGCATAAGAGAATTTCCACTTAATCCAATTTTCCAAATGTCCTCGCATGGCTCAAGCTCACTCTCTCTCTCTCTCTCTCTCTCTCTCTCTTGTGATGAATTTCCCTCCCTAATTCACGCTCTCCGCGTGAGTTTTCCTCCACGGAAGCCCAGAGGGTGGGATGACAAAGAAAAGAGCAATCTCGGGCCATGTGGAAGAGATGAAATATTGTGGGATTGAGATTACATAAAGTGGGAGTTGATTATGCACTGCAGGAGGCGAGCCATCAACTAATGTTGATGATGAATAAAAGACCCAGAAGAATGGCAAACAAGAGTGGACTATTTTCAGCCTCTAATTCAGTCACTGTGGGATATCAGAATGTCTTATTTCCCTTATTTCTTAATGATCCGCGCACAGCAAGTGCGGAAGAAGCGTCATCGCGACTCGGAAAGTGGGTCATATTTGCAGGAAATCAAATTATGCTCTCAAGGATGTGCGCTCTGCTCTGTAGGTGAGCGAAAGTAAGGATGGAACTTAAATTCGACATCAAATAAAACTTAGCACAGGGAAAATGATGAATCTCTGTGCAAAATTAACATCATCATCAAGTGATTTCTTGTTTGCCTGAGATGTTGAATGTGGCTTTTGAGAAATTGTATAATGAAATGCAAATAATGCCCTGAGCAAGTGCGATTTAATACCTCCCGAAAACAGAAGGTATTCACCCTGGAGAGCCGGAGGGTCGCCAGGGAGTTGAGAGTGTGAGTGGAGACGGGATGAATCCTGAGGGAGATCCGAAAATTGGGGTGTGATTCACCCGCAGGATGTTACTTAACGCTCAACCCTTTTAACTCCTCGCTTCCTCACGCTCAAGGTATCTTTCGCTCTCTCCACATATTATAATTAATATTGTATTTCCACCTCTTTTGCCCAAAAATCCACACTCTTGTTGCCATTTGTGAGACAAGAAAGTGGACCAATTCCATGGAATTTCTGCTGGTTAATTGACATGTCAAAATATTTAACAAGGAAAGCAAGAAGAGGAGAACTAATTCCAGAAGCAGCTGAAGAGGTGTAAAATTTTTCGGCGCATGGCCACATCCTCAAATGGGCCAAATTTGTGGTTCCTCCGAAATTCCATGGGTGCTCTCTTGTTCGTTCGGTGGCGCCATGCTGAGAGGAGTGTAAAATTGATGATCACATAATGATGCGTGTAGATTATTCATGGTACATTTAAAATACCCATATTAAGCCCCCTTTCTACAGCCCATCTTTCGCTCCTGCCTCAGCACTCTCGCCTCTTCTCTGCTGCATTTGATTGACTCATCTTCATTGTTGGCACATGTCGCAAATTTTCTATTAACAAACACTCGGTGTGTCTTCACAGGGTGATGTTGAGCAGTTTATTTGGAAGCGATTCACCAGTTTTTCAGATATTATGAATTGACAATGGAGTGAATTTTACGTCTCTATCTTTGGCTAAATGAGCACTTATTGCTCGGGAGAATTGTTGCATTCAGTGAGAACTGTCTAATGATCCTGAAATCATCAAAATCAGTTAAGTAAATGGTGTCTATAGATCTTTTAATTTTCCGATTGTGCCACCCTGTGGCTAGGAAACGACTCGCATTCAAATGAGGGTCACATATAAAAAAAATGTACTCAAAAATGCTCTCCGTCTCATCATCGCTGTGCGACTGGGCATATAGGGAAGGGGGTCGAATTGACTGTCCCTGGAGGGTTGAGTGATGCCAAATGAAAGGACGAGGGCAAAGTGAGCAGACAAAAGCGCGACAGAAGGATGATCTGAGTGTAAATAAATATCAAATCACTCCTCACAGTATGTTACCGAATCTGTGTCTCTATTAAAATCACATTTTTGGCTTATGATAGTTCACTCATTCCATATTTATCCAGTTGGGCTCTTCAACTCTTCTGCCGTGGGGTGTAGAGAGTTCAGCAGATGGAATGACTCCAGGAATGCTTAGCGCAGGAAGTTTGTGTGACACGTCGTCATAATTTTAGACACAGATATTCGATATAATTGTCTAATTGGCCAGGAGTTCTGTGGGCGCGAGGGGGCGTGAAGAAAGCAACTATCGAATTCTCAGAGATGATTTTTCGTCTCTTGAATTTCACTGTGAGAGACGAAATCCATCTGGTCAGGGAGAAGGAAAGTCTGTGGTATTATTTCTATCTTGAGATGCTCTCAACTTGTGTGGGCAAAAATTGCTGTCCAAGAACACCCTGACACTTTGTGAGTCACTGACACGTGAAATCTTCCTGCTGTTGGTTCAACTTTGTTGAAAATTCGTCGCTCTTGGTGGCCCAATCCTAATGGATTGCTCATATCGCTCCTCCATTTGCCCGCCAAATCATCCATTCGCCAACTCTCCCCAAAAGCGCACGAGGGAAACTATATATTTTGGAATTCCACCCCGAGAATTCTCATGCACACAGTGAGGCGACATTTGAACTTTGTGATACACGTTAAATGGAGAAAATTAAATTTTCATTCAAATTTCATCATAACAGACTTTCAAACGCTCTGACTTCCTCTCTCTCTCTCTCTCGTTTCGTGTCGCCTCCAAAGTAAAACAATGAGCGTCTCTATTTATCTACAAAATTAAATTAATATACACAGAGAGTGGATGGAAAAAAAGAACGTTGTTTGAGTGCTAAAAAGAGTCACAAATTAGAAAAACAATAAAGCTTCTACTGTTTCCCCAACTTTTTACTCTCCAATTTACTTTGTGGCTTTCATTCTCGATTCAATCCTGTATTTAATGGAAATTAAATATTGTCCTGGACGAACGTCGGTGGCTTTCAGTTTGGAGCTTGTTTCAAAACCCATAATCCAATGAAAAGTCCTTCAATTAGGTATAATAGATTTTTCCTTGAGAGGTAATTTTATTTCAAAAATATCTTTATGCATTCCCATTCGTGCTATTGATTAGTACAATTTTTTGCAGCTAATAATAATACGAATACACTGCTTTTTCACAAATTGAGTCAGAATTTTTGCTGATATTAGCCATCTCTCCTTTTCATCCTTTACTTTTTTTCTTTGATATGAAACCACGCCGAAAGGACGTGATATTTGCATTCTGCTGCCACTTTTCCACTGCCACTTAGCAGTCTATAGAATCACGGACTCGATAAGTATCGTGTGTATTTGACACTTGGTACAATATTTACCCAAACACATCAGTAGTGAAATCTCTGCAATCCATCCTGAATCACCCCGGAATCGATTGTGCGAGACACCTAAGAAAATATTACTGGAGTCCCTGTGAAAAGTTCCACTGGGCGACCGTTAGCAGTGAATTTACGTACAACTTTCGCACCCCTTAATTCACTGTCACGGCGCTGGAAGGCGAAAAAAGAGAGCGGATTTGGGATTTCCACCCCGTATTTATGCGGGAATCCACACTGTGTGCACTCTTGAGAGTGTCATGTGCATTGATGCTGAAAATTCTCATGGTGCAGGAGAAGTGTGAGAGATTTACAAGACGGATTCCATGGTGCATTTGTTGCGATTAATTCTCATACGCTTCTAAGAATGCGCATTTGTCAAGGAAATGCACTTTCTCAGTGCCTCTCAATTGAGTCATTTTCCTTCACAACTCCATCTTCCATTGACATTTCGGTTTTCTCAGCGAATAAACACACTCTTTTGCTCTCTTATCTCTGCAGCTATGCCGTTTTAATTGGCTTAATTGAGACTCTCGTGAAGCGGTGTGCAAAAATTCACGAATCTGTGGAGAATCAACACGGCGTTGTTCTCTCGCTTCTTGCGACGCTGGGGTTGCTGACAAAGTTCACTGAAATATGTCCCAAAGGTAAGTTTGTGCATAATCCTGCCGAGAAGTTTGAATAACTGACTTATTATTCGACTTTCAGGACCAAATGATCCCACAAAGTTCCTCGTATTGGCTCAGCAGACGGAATTCTTTGGCTCCATCACGCTTCTTCACTCCACAATAGTACCAATTGGTGAGTACAATCAAAGTCAAATGTTTTACTTATTGAGTATACAAATGAAATTCCCACGAAAGACCACTAGAAAAAAAACCATCAAATTCGGAAGATGTTTGTTTACATTTTTGGGGTTTTTGTCTTTTTGTTGGAGCAGAGAAAAAAAATCAATGGGAAAGAGAGTTGAGCGATATTTCACATGAATCTTTAATTGACTCTATGATCTCAGATACAATAAACATAGGCGGATTTTCTGTTTTCATGTCACGAATGGATGTCTTGGAATATTTCTTCTAATTTTGGGCATCTTTCTCACCCACAGGCGAGTGTATTCCACCAAGAACCGTTTCAATTGCCGCGGCGACTTTCAACTTGATCGTCTGTCTGGCGAATGTGGATCTCAACACGTTTCAGGTTTGTGCATTTGTGCCTAGATTGCGTCTTTTTGGTTAGGACGAAGAGATGAAAAGTGTGAATTCCGGTACTTGATCATTGATGAAAGGATTTCTGAGTTACAAATCGGGAAGATTTCATGAAAATTTCAATGCTCTACAGGCATTTTGAATCGTTCGCTAGCAAATTCCGTTTGTGCTAGCTAACATTTGTTTACCTCCTGGCGATTCTTTGTCTTGATGTCTCTACATCAATGTCAATCAATTATTCTCTATCTCTCGTTGCGATAAATTTTTATCGCCCTCACCTTTTTTGTACATTTTTCCTGGGATAAAGTGATTAAAAGGCCGCTTTTTGGGTGTCGTTGCGACATAATTAATGCCAGAATGTGATTTTGCAGAATGTGATTTTAATCATGTGCAACAATATTGATGAGGAGTGAATGGTCAACAGAATATTGGAGTGCCATCATGGCTTTCCAACCCTTTTGTGAATTAGGCATGCGGGGCTGGGGAATGCGTTTGCGAAAGGGCCGACAAATGGTGGAGTGAGCTCACGAGGATTGGCTTGATTGACAATTTATCCTTCAATATGTGTGTAAATTTATTCAATTTGAGAGTGTCTCCACTCTGGCGTCAATTCCAATGCAAACACTCTCCACAATGGACACTCTGGATGACTGAGAGAGATTTCGGGGACTCGCCGGGGTGCAAATAAATTATCTCCGCACTAAAATGTTTGATAACACCAAACATTTTACATTTGGGGATTCACATATAGCACTTAACTCGTGAAAATCCTCCATTGTTCCATCTTCAGACGGGGAAAATGGATCGTTTTCGCCTCGAAACGACTTCTTGTTTCGCATTTTTGTGGATATTTTTATATGCACAGCGAAGAGAGCCTGAGGAAAGATGTTCTCTCTCTCTCTCGTCTTCATGGCAGTCAATTTTCTTTCAAGACATATCATAACCATGCTAAAAGGGAATTGGAGTAAATATTGTGGAGATGATGGAAAAGCTCGCATCTTTATGCATATAAATCTGAAAATTAATAATAAATAATGTTTACAAGCTTCAGTCGATTCCTGATGCGGATACCATAAAGTGTACGTTAAAGGCGAAAGATTGCCATTGAATTATGAAGAAACTCGCCAAAGGTAGAATTTTGCTATAACATCAAAAGACCAGAAGTCTAATGCAATTATTGCCGAATGCAGAGATTCGGTATGTCACGGAAAATACTCGGCCTTTTCTCTCCCCCCATTGAAAATCCACAGACAAGAGAGAAATGATAACATGATATTTACTTTAGTGGTCGGATTTTCCACCCATATTGTTGAGACAGACAAACAGGGGAACATGTTTAACTTAATCAATGGGAGGAAGAACAAACAGCTCAGCGTGGAAAACCGTTCGTAGAAAATTGCAAACAAGAGCAATGTAGAGCAAATAATTTTCCAATTTTCCTTATTACTTCAACTCCAATTATTAGGAATAACAAGTGTGATTAAGATTTAAAATTCATTTTGATCTGATTTTTTGATAAGGGAAATTGAGCTTATAGTAAAGGTTAACCAGCAATTGAGATATTCTATATGTGACTAATCGAAGCTTTATTGATTGCACTCGATATTCAAATAGATTGTATTGAGGCTCAACTTCTTTCGACGTTTTCCGATACGATAAAATTGATGACTATGATGGCAGAATTCATGAATATCCACAGATTTCAACAGAATTGATTGGGATAAAGTTTTGATTAAATGTATTCAATGTAAAGAGGATGAGAGAATGCACAAAAACGGGTTTTATGCAAAGTGTGGGATATTTGTGGGTGGTAAAAGTGATGAGAAGTGTGCAAACATTGCCTACAGTTATTATATTTGGGTATTCTAATCAAATATTAGATGGAAAAACTCATCTCGGCACACAGAAGAAGGGGACGGAAAATATAATTATTTCCCTATGCAGGAGAAAATCTCTTTGCACAGCTCTTTTTTGTTCGCTCTGGCGTGAAATTAATTGATTTTCCAGCGAATCTTCGACAAACATTGACTCAAAAAATCACGGATTTTCTTCTCTTTGCAGGCAATTCTCTCTGAGGAAGTGATTTCCCTCAAGTTCTTAGATATTTTAACGATTTTACTCAAGTATTGTGGCCCCAAGTCCAGTGAAAAAGGCGAAACACAGGCTGTGATTGTTGATCTTTTGAGCACTTTAGGGTACTTTTGCGTGAACAATGTGAAGAATCAGGTGAGGATTGATTGCGGGGTGGATTTTTTGGGGAGGTTTTTCACGATGTCCTTGTTGTGTTTAGAATCTGATTGTCAAGGAGCAACTGTCGGTGGTGAAGAGTATTGTTAAATTGCCAAAGGAAATGGCCATTTACTATTATCCCACGCTTGCAACGCTAATTTGGAAGAATCCAGAGGCAAGAACGATCCTGAGTCACGAATTTGAAGTTGAGGTGAGAAATTGCTGGTGTCTTTAACGATGCACAAGGGTTATTTTTCTTGAAATTTCTCTTGCAGTCTCTGGAGGAATACCAAAAGTCGGCACTGGCGAAAAAGAACCAACTTCTCACATTGCTTAATTAATTATAACCACTTTCAGCAGCAAAATAATCACCTTAAAGTCACCACGAAAACATACTCAAATTTGCAAAAATAACCACACGACGATAATGTTATTTATCCTCTCTTTTGATTTCACATTCATATATGTAATTTTGACAAATGCAATCTCCACTTCTTGTTGTGAATTTTCACTCACGTTGAAAAATGAATTTGCGTAAAGACAAGACTTTCAAAGAAAAATGTGTTACTAATTTAATACGATTGTGTATAATAGGAGGAAATAAATAATTTTTTACACCTACAGAATCTACCAGAAATTGATCCTCGCGCCGATTTCTCGAGAAGGCATTAATGCAAAACATGAAGAGACATTAAACGTTTGTTTTGTCTGGCAATTTTATGATGGTTTTCGGCTCTGCCTTCTCAAGTGCCTTTTTTGCTGTGCGCGCTCATCTTCAATATCGCGACATTAACATTGATTTGTGCAGCGGCGGAGTCGAATTAATGTTTCTTCTTTTCCTTGTCTTGTTGGAAAGATGTAAATCGTAAAAAAAATGTGTGCGAAGGTTTGGAATTTATTCGTGTGGGTGGAAAGTTCGAGGGGTGATCAATTGAAATTCCATCCCCAGCTCGTGAAAATGGAAATAATTGTCACACACTTCACATTTAATATCCGGCTCTTAAGTGGTTCATCCACCTTGCTGAACCCTATTTTTCATTCAGCCGCCAAAATGGGGAAAATGTTTGCCGTTGTCGATTTCGAGTGGGAAATTCAAGCATTTATACATTACAAAATATCTCAGAAAAAAAAACTACCAGAAAGCACCGTTTTTATGTTGCTTTTAGTGCAACCCTTTTGGTAAAGTAAAATTGTGACATTGAAATTGATGTTAACATCGTCCCAACTGACTTCTCTGTGCCACTCACAGTCCAACAGATCACTTTATGAGTCCTCGCCGACGTCTAGAGTGACTTGAGAAGTCATCCCGCATAGTCAGCGTCATTAAGCGGCGTCTCTGCATTCAAATAAATCATAATTATGCCGATGTCAAGTGCACTAAGAGGCTGGCGATGGTTTTTGTCTTGCAGTCAACCTGCATAACGTCTTCGGACGCACAACATTTCCAGACTTCCTGCCAACACCTGCCGATTGAGCACAATCATTCGGTGAGAACTTCTCGAGAAACTATGCGCGTTTCATGGGAAAAACTCAATTTTCTTGTCCATTTTACAATTATCTCGCTCCTTCGGACGCTCTGGCTTCGTGTAATTGTCTTAATTGACGCCCAGATTGACTACTTGAGCATTCGCGAGGAAAAGGCTGGTGGAGAAAACATTTCCTCCCGCCTCGAAGTGTAATTAAATTAGCCAGAGAAAGAAAGACAATTGAGGGGTTAATGACAAGACGCTATAGAATTAAGTCTGCATTTCTTAGAGAGAGAGACGTGTTGATTTTCCACAAATATTTGCTTAGTATCCAAACTAGAGCTTCGCCCAGATTGAATTTTGTGGTGCGAGCAATAAAATAAAAATTACTGCCATGAGACCGAAAATTGCTTTAATGGATATTTAATGCAGCTCCGAGCCATTTCCTCTTTTTACACTAGAATTATTATTGTTTCACTTGTGGCGTATTTTTAATGGGCCACACTTTTATCCTCTTCTGGCGAGAGCATAAATACACACTCGCCCAAAAAGCCACAATGCAATGGAGAATTTTTGCATCATGCTTCTCTCCACTGATTTTCAAGCGTGATTCGCCAGAATGTTCAGCAGTGAGTGAGATTACGAGATATTGGGTGAAAATTTCACCCTCGCCGCAAGATCGCGTTTGTCTGTCCATTTGCGGGGGGAGAAAATTGTCGTGAGCACTTCTTCATGAGCACTGCAACCACTTATCCTCTCTCCTTCACCACCCCTGCAAATATCGCGCACAATGGCGATGCCCTCGCACATATTATGCCCATTTCTTCCCTCCAGCACGCGCGATTCCCCCGATTTCTTCCCCTTCCCGAGGGAGCCGCTCTCGAGAATCAATTCATCCGGCGTGAGATTCGCTAATGCAACATTTTCCCTCTCGAGCACTCAACAAATCGGGAGTTTTCACTCTGCGCCACATGAAACTCCAAGAGAATCTTCAAATTGACTGTATTTACATTGGTAAAATGTGAATTTCTGAAAATGATTCACATTTAAATTAGCATTGAGAGACAACATAAACCAAAGAGCAAACGTAACAGATATCAGTGTGAAATATAGTTGAGAATCGAAGAATTTTCTAACCGCCTAATTAAACATGTTGCTAAGATTATAATTTGCTCTGAATGGAAAGACAAAGTCAGAGATTTTGTACTCTGTGCAAACTTGCTATGGAAATGAGAAGAAAACTTCCCCAACAGGGCAATTTATAATTCAAATCTTCACCCGAAATCCCTTGTTCTCTCACTCTCGATGATAAGGCTGTGAGAAATAAATCCGTGCTTCTGATGTAATGAAATTGCAATCCCCTAATTAAATGCATAAATGCATTCAATTTGTCTAATGCAAACAATGTCGGGTGGGAATAAATTTAGTTGAACTCTCTTCATTCGCTGTTTCGTCACACTCACACACACACACACACACACATTTCAAGGGGTGAGAATTGGAGGGACAAGTGCCCTCTTCTCCGCCACCTTTTTTTTTAATTGGCCGAAATTTTGAAGTTTTGTCACACTTAAAATCATCCGTCTTACGTATGACAGCAAATATTGCAATTAATTTACATAATATGTAAATTTATGGGTGAATTTGCAGATGCCGAAGAGTGTCTGGCTTGTGGCATCTCGCCTAAATCCATTTGGTTTATCTTAAAACGCTGCATGAAGAGCTTTTGACAAATAATCATCATTCGCCACATTTAAGCTACTGGCAAAATCCAATTGACTTGTTTTGCCACTCATTATCCTTCAGCTTGAAATGCCTCTGAGAAATGGTGGCAATTTGCATCAGCACTTGAGTGGCATTTAGCGCATTCTTTCCAGCTTACACACTGTTCAACACCCTCTCGCGACAGGGATACGCACTATTCCATTCAAAAAACGGCCATCACAGTTGATTGAATCGGATGGTAATGCAATCAAGCGATTTCAATTCTTGCTCTGGGACAAAATTTCAACTCCAATTCCTCATAATGCCTCCCGACAATTGAAAGTCATGGTGAATTAGAGGGAGTCAAATGATGAAAATCATTGCAATTCCCAGCGACAATGTGCAGTGGCAAAAAATGTTTGTTTTCACCCTCTAATTTTTCGTCATTTCACTTGGCACAATTCTCGCAGTCGCTCCTCATTATTTTCCGTGACGCTTTTCACAATCCGAGGGACTCAATGTGATGATTTGTCGGCGAGCGCGGAGGCAGAGGAAGTTCTTATTGATAAACACTGTCCCCACACACTTCCCATATGCGTGTGCCCGACCATTTCCATTCTTTCACCATGCATTCGAGATGAAATGCGACGAAGAGTGAGAGCTTCTTGGCATTGTGCGAGTGACTTCAAACGTTAAATTTTCAACATGATGATTTTTCTGCATTGACAATATTTTCGGGGGTGAGTTTGCGAGGGTTGGCATTAAAATGAATTTCATACCGGCGCAGAGACTTTGGGGGAGACGCGCGACAATGGCATTTTGCGATGAGGTGTACATTCGGGGAAATTATTTACTTTTATTGTTGCACGGAATCGCATCCTCCGACAATTTTCGCTGCATTAACTAATGAAAGTGAATTTTGGAGTGGGAAAAGATTCATTCAGAAATTCACCCCTCAATTTCACGTGCTGAGCTCTTAAATACTGTTTAATCTGGCTGATTTTTATGAGGATATTAAGAGAATGAGAATTTTCCTGGTAATTTGCTATGAGTTAATTTAATGTATTTTTCGTATACATATTTCCATGAATTTACAATCACGAAGTTGTGAATATTTCTTACTATTTAATTCAAAGATTGTAGTTATCGAAGTAAATCAATTTTAATTTTACTGAAAATTGTAGTGCATTAAGAGTGGAAAATCCACTTAAAATTTTACATATTATTTAATCATTTAAATTGATTTAGGCGTTATGCATTCGAAAAATATTTTGGTGTCGCTTTTTAGGACAATCATTATTATTTCCACCCCTCTTGCTGACACCTTATTTCGATTAACAATTCAAGTCCAACTGCAACCCTTGCTTGTGATAAATTGTGCGTGAAGACCGATGTGAAATCACAATAATTTGTGACTTTTTCACGACGCGCGTCGCAGCGCAATCAGTGGAAATTGAACAATGAACTTCCGGTGTTGCTTCACTGTTTGCGCGCAAAGGTGTTGAAGATTGACCAACGGAAGGACATTAAAGGAGGGATGAAGCGCGAGTCTAATTACATTTCGGGTGAGTCACAGTTTATCGCGCCTGGAATTTGCGTACAAGCGCAGGTGATTGAGAGAATGAGTTGTTTTTAGCGAAGGACGCGCCTCTGGATTGATGTGGATGCCTTGAAAGTGTCTGGAAATCACTCAAAACTTGTCATCCGACTCTTCTTTCCTCCCATTTTGTTGAAATGCTCGTTGGACGCGCGATGGAACGGTCTATTTGATGATTTTTCGTTCCTGTCCAGGCAAAAAGACGAAATTGAAAGGCGAAAGAAGGAGCCAATGGAGAATGCTGCGGTGTTGTACTGCCGAGAATCCCCTGATAATTAGCTACACCGGCCGATGAGTCGACAAATTCAGCCCGGAGATCTGACAAATGGATTAGACTTCAAAAGGCGCACCAGAGATGAAGATTGAAGGGGCGTCAGCTAATTCTGATGTTGGAGAAACACACCTCAATTGCAGCTCTCTCTGGGCCACGATGATAAGTTTATCTCATGGAAAATATCTCAGGCCGCCTCCATTTTTCCCGGCCGAAGCCTGTAATTTCTCGAGGCCAAAGTGGCTCCAACACGGGTAAATGCAAAAAGCTTTTAGGGGCGGCTTTGGCGGCAACATTCGACGCGCGGCGGGGAGAAAAAACGCCACGGAGAAAATGACAAAGTGAATTGCTAACATAAATAATAATTTTACAGTATTGACGAAGGAGGAAATGGAAGAGAAGCATAATCTTATTTGGCCTTTTCCCTGCTGGTCTCGAATCTATAATTAAAGATCATTTCGTCCATTTCCCGCGCAAAAGTAGGTCTCTCCTTTTCCACGGTGGTAAAAGGGTGAGAAGACAAGTCACTGGCATAGATGGAACGGCATTACTGTCTGATAATGATCTCAATATCAATTTCGGTGTTAG